ATCCCCTCCTTCTTTGTTTTGAATGATGCTTTGATGATTCTGGATCCGTGAGATTCCCATCCTACAAGTGCATTTCGTGCTACTTTGGACAGCATAAGAGCGACTCCCTGAGTGTGTGGAGCATTGTCCTCTTCGTGACCGGAGTATAGCAGCATCTCTCCCGTAGCTAGCCTTTTCTGTCCAGCTTGGGTCCAGTGGGTTTCGCTGATTCCCAGTACTGCCAAGTTGTATCTCCTCATTTCCATTGATATTTGACTGGTCTTCCCGGTTTCCCACATTGTTCGAACGTTCCATGTACCTATAAAAATTTTTGCTCTGGTTGTTAGAAGGGGCATCGGCCTCGTGGCTTCCGAAGGAACTCGGCTTTCACCATGAAGCGTCATAATTCTTCTAAATGAAGACCTTCTAACTCCCAGTGCAGAGTTAAAATGGTTTGGATTATTTTTTCTGGTAAGCGTTTTTTTAGCGAGTTAGTTTTCTACGGGATGGGGACGCTAACCCCATGCCCAACCCTCCTCCTTTACCCGGCGCTTGTATCTACTTTAACTAATATATTTCTGTAATAATCTCCCCTGTGTTGTACAGTCTTCAAAGCATCTACGGTACATTGATACGTCAACGGGGTAGTCCACGTAAGGTGCTAATCACGAGGTGTGACTTCGACGTCAGCTGGTTCGTCACACCATTCACGTCTAACTCCAGTAGGCCTCCAATCATTTCGACGTAGATCATCTACGTTGGCGATCTACAATGGTTTAAGTATAGAGGGTAAGAAACTATTCCGACGTGACCAGAAACTTGAAACGAAAGGCAGAGCAGCCATCTATGTAAACAACCAATATATCACCAAAGAAACTAAAATAGCCGAATTATCAGAGTCTTCCTTGTGTTATTTTAAGGCAAACGGCACTAGGTACTCGACTGTAAGAATGTGCCATCCTTTCACATTCAGTTACACTAAAAGAGAAAGATATTTTGCTCAGGGAGAACATAAGTTGTAACCAAGGGGATTGCACTTATAACTCATGTCTATGATAATGACGTGAACCTTAGTCAGGGTTGGGATCAATCCGACAGTATTTTCAGTTTGTAGGAGATTTACTCAGCTGCTTATACTGATGATTTACATGCATGATTGTATCGCTAAACCTACAATCAAACTGACAAGGTTTTAAGATATTTTACGATTGAGCAAGTGATAGAGAAACATAATGAAATCATCTGTAATGGGTGAAAATAACGAGAAAACAACATTATTTATTAGTAATTATAAGTCAATTTGTTGACAGATTTCGTTAATAAATCCATAAACTTTAGTAATCATATTACGTGATTGTTAAGTAGTGACAATGCTTTAAGATGATATCATGAAACCATTATTTTTAACTACTTATAGTGTTCATTGAGGAGTAACCAGTTGAAAATAGTTATTGTTGTTTCATGTGCTTCTGGAAAGGAGAAGTTTGTAGCGTTAAAGTGTCCGAGCTGCTTAATTATATTATAAATTTCAATTCAAAAATAGTCACCAACATAGTGTTAGATTTAGTAGCAGGTTCCGGAATTTTGATTTTAAATTTTTGTCTAGTCAACGACTATCCGAAAGTTTAGTTATTATACTAGTGCAGTTGATAGTACCTAAATTTGTAGCTTTTTTATCTAAACTATGTTCATATTTTCGGCTGCTAATATGAAAGACCAATCCATAAACCCAAATGTTCAAGAGGCGTAGTATTGATCCAAAAGCATCTAGATTAAACACAGAGCATGGCAACTAAGTTCAAGATGCTTGGTGCTATTGACCTTTTTGACACTCGCTGGAATCAGAACAAACGAACAGATCCCGATAATTGTGTAACTTTCATTGTATGAGCCATCTAAAATGACCTTATGTTTGCTGAAAATTTATAGCTCAAACTCATCGTATGTTTTTGGAGTAGTGCCCTCGTTGTTTGGTAGTGGGACTGGAAAATTGAATTTTAGACAGGCAGTGGTCGGAAGAAAAGATATTACAGTATAGTGCATAGTTTAAAACACAATGAGGCGTTAAGTAAAGAAACAACATGAAGAATCAGATACAGATAACTATTTAGTTCTTCCTCACGTTGCTAAACAATGTATATTTAGATCATTCACAGGTTATAATTGCCAGACCTTAATATTTAAACAAGTTTATTTCGCTGAAGCACGTCAATGCTATTAAAGCTTGTTAATGAACCATCAAAGCTAATTAACATAGATGGTCAGTTGTTAGTATCAGTTGAGTTAGTATGTTATGAGTTTTACTCCATATAACATTACGACGATACATGAGATCATTAATCAGAGGACTATTAGAATAATAGGTTTGCATAAGTTAACATCGATATAGAAAGTTAAAGGGGAAATAAGGATTAACAATAATAAGTCGCGTTTCTTTAGTTAGGCATACCAATGTAGGTTTTACTACTGCTCTAATAATAGACAGTCTTAAAATTGCAGATTTGTCAAGGAAACAGTCAAAGGTATCAAAAGTTCAATCCTGAATGAATTTGAAAGAGACACCACGAGATGAAGAAAGTACGGAAAGGACAGAAGACTCTACCAGCTAATATCTAATGACCACCTTCCGATTAAGGAGTCCGTGTGCAGTCATTAACTGTGAGTAGTGACCGTGAAACAATCATATTTGAAGTTGTCACAAGTCAAGTGGACGAACGAGAATGCTTTCTTGCTTTGTTACACTAGGAAAGATCACACGGCTGTAATGGAGCATTTTCAACATACTTCATGGTTGCAAGAGTAGTATAAGCTACTACTGATAGTGAGAGATATTATTCAGAATACCATCTTGTACAATGTAACACAAACAAAATACACACCTAGAAAGGGAATATGGTGTCTGAAACAAAGCACAGAATAACTGTAACATGCACAAGCAAGAGGCTGGCACAAGTGGGGAGTTTTTCTAAATGATTCTACCAGTAGCTATCAATGGACGGTGCGAAACAAATTCAGCGTTGAAACTCGAAGCCAGGGGTGATATTTCCAATACTTATTGACCATAGTGCAAACCGATGGTCAGAGAAACTTTCATGTAACTCTCGGGTTGATACTAAGTAAAATATCCTGTCGCTCAGGAAGTAGTCCATTGTTGCAAGCGACGAGTTAACTGCGGGATGATAACTTTCGGGGCTATTTTCCTGCGGTTTTATTTATCTACATTGGTCGCGCTTTTAGGAGTTTTAGTTTTCTTTGTGTTGTTATTACCTTTGTTTTAAGCTTTTATTTGAACTGTAAATTTTTGCTATAGCATCTTCGGTTTATTAACTAGAACCAATTATTTATGTGCCCAGTATTCCGTTTCCCCATCAGTAATGTTGTTGTATTGTGCTAATACTATTGCCCGATCTACCTACTGTGTAGTCCGGTCTTGTATATATGTAAATGGATGTTTGAAGTGTAACAGTGATCTTGAACTGATGAACATTTGCATTGCGTTCTTCCTCTTCTTTCGGTGCCAGTCAGTATTGGGCCAGACGTCAGGCATCAGGTATCAGTTTCCAAAGCCCTCTAGTGACTTGGTTATTTAAGGTTGACTAGGCGCATCGGTCGGTTGCAGAACGTCACACTTATGTGTCAGTATCTGGCCTATAATCCCGAAAACCGCGAAGGCTATAGTGCACCACAACACGTCAAAAACAACGTCCTTCTTTGAGCCCAATACTGGCTTATAAAAATGCAAATCCTGGACGTCCAGACTCAAGACAGCTATAAAGCTTGCTTTGTCGAACATATACAAGCCTATATAATATTTATTGGCTCCAAAGGAACATTGGGCACAAAACCCTAATAACCAGTCATAGTAAAGGTCGGAGGGATGAGTCTCGTTGACCTGAAATTACCCAGAAGAAAGAATGTTTTGCATTGTTGTACATAGAGTACTCATGTGCTGCAGGATTCCAACATCAGGAGTTACACAATGAGCCGTTTTATGTCTAACATTCCTAATGACTCCTAACGATGGCTTTCTGGATAAGATTAGCCCATAAAATGCCGACGATGACAAGAAGTGGAGGTTCATGAAAGAATGTTCACTTGAGATTCATAAGGACCTTCAAACAATAAGGAAACAGGTGGTAGACGATAGGCAGAAGCTTAGCCTATCAAAATGTCATGTGATAGGCATTCAGCCCCATGAAACACAAACAACCTACGTCCTCTATGAAAACCTGTTCTTAATTGTCTCCTCAAAGCGTGACCTAGGATGATCAGTCAGAGAAAACGTGGGAATGAGCTCAAGATGCGTTGTAGAAACAGCCGAAGCAAAGGCGACTTTTCACTTTATGCGAGGGTAACTCGATGCGGTCATCTTAGGTACGCTCCCACTATTTCGCTTTAAAAGTTAGCCCACTGGGAATACTGTCTCAGAAGAAGTGACAGTAACCCTCATCAGTTGAGAGGTTCAAGAGAATATTCGAAATATATGAATGAAGTTGTGGATTATCATCTCCCGCTTGCATTAGCTGTCCTTAATTCCTATCTCGTAACTTACCTACCGTTATCTTCAACCCACGTCATGAGGCTACTCCTTCATCGCTCATTACAATATCGGTTTTTCGTTTCATTCTTGCACTTCGATCTACCTACGCTATTTGGAATATTAATTAACTGATTTCAATGCTTATTTACCTCTTGAAACAATCATCCATGTGAATTCCGATTCCTTCTATATGATTTTCCATGTTGCAACCAACCAACCAACTAACTGCCTGGTAATATGATAGATTCTGACACTCAGAAAACCAGTTTCTCCGAGAAAAACTGACTTATTCAGGTTACATAATATAAAAATGCTGAAATAGTTACCGAAATACCTAAATGGACTGGTGCAGCTAGGTGGCTAAACTACAAGTGATGGATTATCATCGAAGGCCTGAAATTGTACAGGAACAGCAAAAAGCGATTGTAAAAAAATCATTCGGTTTATACAAGCTTGTCAAAAGGATATTATGTATCGGATTGTATACAAAACGGCGGGATATGTGTAAGCATGCGATGCGCCGCGGAAATGTATTTCCAGTTGCTCAGGTAGTATGTTTTAAAGTTTTCCTGAGCTCATGTACTGAAGTATTGGTTAAACTATCATTCATTCTTCACACCTCAGTGTTTCTAAATAATTCCATTGCACAATTCTGGTTTCGATAGTACAGTTGGACATTAATAATTATAATTATATATATGGGTTTCTATAGAAACCCATATACATTCTAAAATAACATAAGGAGGAATTAAGAGAAAACACTTGAGAGAAACAGTGGGCAAAAATTGTGCGCGAAGCAAAGTCTTTGGTGTGTATTTAGGCTAAGGACAATTCTTGCGGATGGTAAACAACTTCAGTAGCTGATAATAAAGTTTGGGGGGGGGGGTTCGCACTATTTCCCTCAGTGTGTGTCGGCTGTATTTACACGTAATTTTCTTAATGACTTTCCTCGGCACTTTTATCTTAGCATTCTTTTTTTTGTTTGCATGGGAAGGAGTTAAATATAGCTTTCGTTGTCAGCTACAAGAAGCTTCCTATAGTGTTTTCTCTCTTCTTAAAACATGCCAAAAGCCTGCTTTCTGGAGTTGCATCTACCAATTAATGTAGTTTTTCGGTTCTTAGTATATTTAACCCCATTAATTTAGACCTGCCGTTTCGCATATGTTCCAGGATTTTTAATGTGTAATATTCACTGTTGTTAATCGTACTTTGAAATGTAACATTAAAACACTGTGAATACATCCTGGCTATGTTTATGAAGTTATCGTGCATGTATAGACCTATCGTTCTCATTGAAACTGGTACATATATTTTTAAAGTGTAGTATTTTTACGTTGAACTAAGAAGAAATTACGACATCTAATAACTGAAGGAACGACTGTATTGGTGTGAATTTCAAATAATTTAGACGTGACGTCTAAGGATGAACTGCACTGCTTAGGTGATACCTTCATTGATCTGCCATTGACCCACAAAATTCGGATTCTACAATCCTGTATTAGATGATGTGTATTCATGTTTGGTTTTTTGTTTGGCGTGTAAATAAAGCGTTATTTTTGCCTCAAGAAAAGCCTATTGTGGTGGTCAGCCGTGTTGCATACCGACATTTTGTTTAAAGGCTTAGATCAGTAGTTCAGTTTCATGCTCAACTGTTGGTTCATCACGTTGTGTTACTACACATCATCGACTAATCAACGTTCTACTCACCATTTTAACGATGAAAGCGTGATCAGTACCAACATTTAAAACTTATTCATAGCAAGTCTCGTGAGAACTTTTTATGTTTTTTACTGTAATCACTCTAAAGACTTGTGCTTATTAGCTTTAATAATTACCCATCTATAGATGTCTTATTCCTGAATTGATTTTTTTAGTCACTCAAACAATGAATTTTGAAGGAAAAACTAGTAAATCTGATCGTCAAGTTATCTATAAAAATGTTTCAGTCAGAAAGCTGAAAACAAAGACAAGTGAAAAAAGTTTCATCTGGACAAATGTCACGCTTCATATTATACTATTTCTTATGGCAACAACAGCTGGTTATTTGCATTGTTTTCATGTTTCGAATTTACATGAAAATGACCTGTTTTTCTCACACTTATCCAATTTGGAGCGTGAGCTGACATTTAGGACTGAAATGGGATTTTACTACTCCTACTTTAAACAAGTAAAGCTCTTCGTTTGATTGCTTAAACGTTATTAAAGTATATATTTGAATAATCATGTTTTTATTCCTTATTTTGCGATGTACTTATGTGGTTTCATTGTTCTCTCACGATCGGTCGCCTGGGGCCCTATATATCTTGTATCCGTGTGATAGATTAGTGGGTTATGAAAACATTGGATAGTCCAGCTGTAAAGAATGAAAGTTCCGTCTATTTTACAGGACTTTTGTCACCAGTCTGTTTACGATGTGATACTTTTAATGTATGGACCACTAGATCGCAACTATATGCTCTTTCGGATTCTAACTCAAAAAGATCAGTGTCATCGGTTCGGTCTTGTATGTAATCATGGAATTATACTGTTAGTAAATTCAAAACGAGGATGAAACAGTTCCTTTTTCCTTTAAGTAATTCTTTAATTAACACCGATTTGGAATTTGAATTGTTTAAATCAGTTTAGTATAGAGAAGTTACTTTATATAAAAACAATACATGTCATAAACTCATGAGTATGGAGTTTTGGTGTTGTTTCCTGTACAGATTGTAATTACTTCTTGAATAGTTTAATTTTTCGAATAACTTTTTTTAGATCGTTTCAGCATCAACTTTTGTGGAAGGATTCAACTCATTGCTTACTGATACTAGGACTGAATATCCGCCTTGCTTAAACCTAGTAAATGATACAGGTAATTTTAATCACTTTCATTTTTCACACTTAATGATAGGTACTCAAAAGAATAATCAATGTGCAAATCTTAATTCTATTGAACGGTTTAATCTGTATCCTGAATTGTTGCTAGCTGGTGCTTACAGATTCTTACACACATTTGATTTGATCAGACATTACTGTTTTCAAGTTAAAAGAGATCCACCGACTAATCCAATCGCGATCGCTATAAATCCAAATATAATGGCAAATTTATCACAACTTAGAAAGTGGGTACATGTAGTTTTGATGCATGCGATATTATTATTATTATTATTATTATTATTATTATTATTATTATTATTATTATTATTATTATGGGCAGACAATGGGGTTTTAATTCTAAAAATATATATTTGCTGTTGCTGAAATTAAAGGCGAAATCTAAAATAAACAATTACCAAATGGTTGTTTAATATTAAACTTTTGTACAATTTAATTCAGAATCATTTTTATTCAGAATGACCAAAAATATAATTTACTCTTATAATAGAATAACTATTGAGAAAACTGTAGCTTGTGAAAATATCTTATGAAGAATTATTGTTCATATTTTTTAATTGTATAATTCGTAGTGATTTATATTATTGTATACTTATATTTACCTAAGTGTAATCTTTCATTTGGAGCACAAACTATTATTGTATGTTTCACGTTATTGTTAATTAATCACGGATCTATCACTTAGTTTCTCTTTTACTGATAGCGTAGTTATGTGGATATTGTCATTTCTTACTTACAATTTCATGCGTCAGGAAATTACTCCATATCATTGTATAAGTTGACACATTTGACTGAAAAGCTACACAGCAAAGACTTTATCTGCTTGTCAAGTTCATCACTCGGTTAGATCCTGGTGTTTAAGTAGCTCGAGGACCGACGAAAGTTAAGGTATCTGTTGTTCTTCATTAGTCACTGGGTTGTTGGCAAAATAGGTCATCAGTCCTATAGGCATAGAACGAATAAATCAATAATCGAATTAGAATGTATTGCTGTTTCTATAATAACAGCCCAATCGTGAACCCCAATACAGTACAAGAATTTGTTCATTTTTGGAAATATGACATCTGCACAATTAACCCACTCAATAAGATATGTCTACTGTCAACAGTAACTGTGTAATGTGACCCATTTCTTAAATTTGGCCAATATATCACTAACATGAATTGTCACGTTAAAAGCAAGCATTCATTGACCGTTAGGTATACATTTCACTTTAATAATTCCGTTTTCTCTCAGAGGAGAAAATTTTTGTTATTTTGTATACTTCATTTGAAATCCAAATAAGTTTACAACTCTTTACTGCCCCAAATTTCAGGGTGATACTATTAAGATGAGGAAAATCGAATTCATATTGGTTCAGTCAACCATAAATGATGTCAGTCTGTAAGCTTGGACAAAGTGCTAGAAGACTGAATTAACTAAATTTATAGTTGACATAGTTGGTTTGGATGGAGAGATTCCAAGATAATATTGTCGTTTACAAACTAGTTGTCGAAGGGAAATTATGAATCGGGAAAAAAATCAACCACCAATCCTTGTTCACTATGCTCAACACTGAATTTCTTAACCACTGCAAATCTCTTTTAGTGATGTCTTATTTCGAAGCGTAAATCTCTGTTTAAAGCTATACTGTTGGCAGGTTCGAAGTTTCTGAACCTCAGATTTGTGTTTACAGACATTTCTCTAACGGCAAATTTGAAATTTGAATCATGAATTTCAGACTTGATGGAAAATATGTTTAGATGTCTTTTGCCAAGGATGAATTTTTAGTTTGTTGCTTTTGCTAAGTCCATGCGTTAGAAGCTACAGTACTGAGGATGTATTAGAGTTTGATCAATGTATTGAAAAATTCACATAGACCAGTACTCATTTAAAAAATTCTTGACAGTAATACTCGTTTTTTGAATTGTTATTCCCGAACTGTTGAATCGTTCATACTCATTAGTAATATTACAATCTGTGGTCAATATGATATTAATCATTTGCAAAAGCTCTGTCGTCATAGCATTCTTGGCATTGTATTACGTTTTCCATATAAAATTAAGAGCTATTAACTCATATTTTACTCGTAACTAGTAACTCTCGAGCAAAATCTAACACATACCTTCTCGTGGTGCTTGGGTATTAGTGAGGTTGTGCCTAACGAATCAACACGAGCGACTGATGGGGATCCGCCTTATCGATTACTCTGTTTTAATTTTCGAATTAGTCAGTGTTTAACACTCGACAGACACATGGGTGGTCAGCATTTATGTACATGTGTGTGCCGTGAGAGGTTTAGGTCGGTTTGACTTATGTCTTTTATGTGTAAATCTAATGTATATTTTAACAAAAAGCTGTCACGGGAGTAACATCTATACTTATTTACGTGCTTCGGAATGTATAGGTCCCTGGCTTACATATTTCAGGTGTGTATAAGATATATAATTGCTAGGAATAAAGAGCTGGGAAACCACCTTACTATTGGCAATAACCAACTAATATCAAGGTCGACAGGAGAACCTATTAGTTACATATGAAGCAGTTCAAATACTTCACTTCTACTTGAAATGGCAGATGCTTGGAAAACATACTCAAACAAAGGCATTTGCTAACCTATTACAACCACAACAGACCTTTGAAGTCGTTATTTTGCAATAAAATATAGAGACAAATTGATCCTGACTGCTATTATTTTGATTTGGTGTATATGCAATTTAAACCCATATGATCCTTTTTTACTGAATGAAATAAAGTCATCACTTATAAAATAATGCTTCACAATAAGTGTTTTAGAGAGAGAGAAAAAGGTTTTGACTGGTAGCGAGTATGTGTGTGTTTAGTCAAGGTTACATATGGTGGTACACTAGCTGTGGTGAAAAAAGGCTATTTCATTGAAGTTACAATTCGATATAAGTTATACCACTGTTAAAAATCTGGAAGCACTGGATGACCTTTTCCTTCTCGTATGGTAATCCTCAGGGATTAGACATTAACACCGTTGGATGCCGGTTCAGTGGTCTAGGGACTAGATGTTTTCGCGCGTGACTGAAGGTTCTAGATCCGATTCTTTGTCCCTCTAACACTTGGAAGATAAAAGATAATTGACTATGTTTGGTCTTAACATTTGGTGATTGGGATACTGGTCATATTTGAGTGAATAATTGATGCTGTTCTGATTAATCTATAGATGACATTTTTTCAGTGCTATTTAGCAATGAATACCTGTCGATTGGTTAACCTGAAGTTGTTTTGTTAGTTTAAATATGGAAGAATATAGATTAAATGTAAATATTACTAATGCATAGCTGTGGTTTCATGCTTATATATTATAATAGTTGGTATAAATATAGTTTTTCTGTCTTTATAGGCATTTTCACATTACCCTCCTCCAAATTTTATGTAACAAAACATTTGATATTACAGTATCTCCTTGCCTTGTTTTTATTGTTAAGGCTAGATGTAATACCATCGAATCAATTGAAGATCAACAGTAACTCGATTATAAGTTGTGATGGATCTGGCGAACCGCCATATTTCTATGTAAATTCAGTATTCATTTTGTCAGGTCTGGTACTCTTCGGTTTAACTTACTCTGGTTGGTTTGTTGCTAAGATTGGGAGTTCAAATCAATCTAAAATGGATTATATACTACAGCTTATTGGCGGATTTCTTCCAATTTTAGCATATTTCTCTAATCATAGAGAAGCTACACGTGTTCAATGGACTCCACCATTGAGAGAAAGCTTTGCTTATCCATTCTTTATAATTCAACAGTCTTTTTTATTAGGTTATTTTGGATCAAATCAAATGGTAAATAGACTTAGTTTTCCTTATCTTTTTAATATGTATTTATGTAGTTGTAATGCCTATTTTTGAATTCTCCGCAGATGATTCATCATTTAGTGTGGTTTACTTAAAACAAATCAACCCTTACAACTTAGCATTTAATTAATACGTAAAATCTGAAATTATTATATAAAGTATGTTCATAAGTAAGATATAAGGCATCGAAACAAATAGTAAGAATTCGCAAACATTAAATCATGAAACATCTACCGGTCACTTAATTGACTTATATTCTAGGCACTTGAATATGAACCACACTCTAACTAGGAGGGCTAATGTTACTCATTTGTGTGCCTAAACTAAATTAGGCGGAGTGGAGTGTTGAGCTTGTTACTTAGTGGATGGAAGTCTAACGGTCAGTTGCACACTGCTAGAAGCAATATCACAAGAAAATATATATTTGAAATAAAATCCAATGAGTATATATAGACGCGAAAAGGATCAAGTTAGAATTAAGACCCTGGGTGGTGACTTGGCACGTGGTACTAATGGCCAGTGGTCCCCAAGATATTACAAAAACTAATAGCTAGATGAATAGATTCTTTATGTAATAAAGTAATGTGCTTATATAAGAAATATGAACAAAAAGTATGGCAAAATATAGTAGGTGGTTAGAGGAAATCAGTCTATAGGCCACTTATTCTCCAACCAATTTAGACCTGACTGTTAGTCCTAATAGTAGTGGGAGCAAAATCAAATCAACTTATCATTACTCAAAATGGTAAAATCGTAACATTTTACATTATTATAAATGTTAAAAAAACTCAGAAAAATTAATTTGATTTCGTATTAAGAGTAATGAAGCTGGTACATACACTTAAAACCATACGGTTACCATAAGTTGGGATAACCATCTTTCTTCAGTGTTCAATAAAAAGAGCAACATTTAGCATTTTCCCGTTCGTTTAGTGTATCAGTGCTGCATGTAAGATGGTAATTTGCACTAGGGACTTCGTTTAAATAATCTAAAGCCATCTACATATGTCTTTTATTAATGCGTTACTATTGCGCATCCCAACTTACCGGGTGAAAAAGTAAAAAAACTGAGAGTTTAAACCTGAAATGAAATTCCCAATTAAAATTCTGCGCTTACACGCAGCGTTCATCCACTTAATGAACAAAAAATGATTGATATTAAACATTGAATAGCATATGCGCTACAAATTAATGTACATATGTGATATCCCGGCTCATAAACGCCTAGAGTGGGAAATTACGGCAGGTTAGGACAGATGTTCATGTTCGTTGTTTTCCCTCGTTCTATTTACTTGGTAGACTAAAGGCTTCTGGTACTCCTTCCTAAGACCATATGCTTACCTTCTTGGTACCTTGCTTACTGTATGAGTAAATAGTGAACAAAATCTGCTATTTTTCCCTCCATTTCTGACCAATAACCAAAATTTTGGATAATGCATTTTATTCGATAAATAGCAGACTTGTATTTCTGACGTTTCGTGACTTTTTCAGAGTAGTGGCTTACATTAAGTCACAAAACGTCAGAAATACAATTTTTCTACTCATTGGGATATATATAAAAAAATATTTATTATTAACTCTACCCAATGCTCAATTTATTTGAAACTATCAAGTCCAACTTTGGTATACCTATAAATAACAGACTACCGAATATACAACTGACGAATAATATTAACGTATTACAATCCATTATTCAAAGATTTGGCAATCATTTAAAATACAGAGTTAGTCTCGTCGATGAAAAACTTGTCGAAGTTCAGTATCCGAACGTTTTATTCATTTACCAGTGACAAAGCTTATCACTTTCTGAATTATTAAGTCGCTACTCTGTTGATATTCTCAAATATTACCGGTAGAAATCGGATCTCGATTTACATATAACCTGGGAATAACTTTTTTTCAGTAGTGTGCATTTAGCTTAGACTCCTCATCTTCGTGGGTGAAATCTTCATTGTATCAGTGCTGAATCTTGGGATCACAGTCAAATAGAATAAATGTTGATCCTTCCAAGTGGTTTACTGGTATACTGTTCATGAGGTTGAACACAATAAGCTACACTTAATGATCTGTCAGCCATACGAATTTCTGTTCATAAATGAGCTTATGGAATCGCTGAATAGAAAAAGTCGTCTATTGCTTACTTTACTCTTTGATTGTATCCCCCTTTCTGTAAAAACATATGAGATGTAATTGTACTTGCGCTGTAGCTTTGGAGACTACTGTTTATCATCAAAAGTATCGAACTCATCGTAATTCTAAGCTTACGAAAAAAACAATCCTATCTGGTAAAGATGACAGATGCACTGACAGTAAGGAAGTTGACTAGTAGATGACAAGTCTCGTAAATTATTCGAAGCAGTAGTACATCCTTTGACACTAGTGTCCCTTTGATAGTACATACATTCTAAGGATAATTTCTTAACTACTCAGTCGTTCTGCTCGTTCTTCATTTTGTATATATATGAAATTCTATGCAAGTTAGTGTTTATCGCTTAAAAAAAGATGTATACTTGTTCACTCTGACTATAAATAGAACTACCTAAATTATTCAATGCACTTCTATTGTCTTAAACAACTCTATAATTCTTTTTTCCTACTTTTAGTTACGATCATATCGAGGGAAAAGTTTCATTTGTTTACCAATATACTGTATACTGCTATTGAGTTGTCAAATTTCATGGCAATTTTCCCAATTCGCTTTACTTACTCAAATTATATCGATTATTTGTGCCTTTTGTTTATCACTATCATCAAATACCCCTTATTCTCTTAGTTCAAACCAACAAAAATCAGTTATTCTAAGCCTTTTATTCAAAATAAAACAGATCATATGGATTCATTTAATTGTATTCAATTTATCATTTATATTACAATTTGGCAATCGTTTACTTCTACAGTCTGGTTATATGTTTATTCTACTAAGTAGTTTATTAAGTGTATATATACTTCAACAACTAGTAAATAGTAAGTGATTTGTTCTTTCTTTGTTCTTTTGTTTAAAGCAATTGAACAAATTATTCGTACCATCAAAATGTGGCGGAGATTATTTGTTTGTTAATGTTATTTCTATTAGTTTATTTGTTAAAGCTTAAATGTAGTAGTGTTTCAACGTCAGATCTGGGATTACAAAGATAGAGCTTGAGTATTAATGAACAGTATAAAATGCACTATAATCATTTTAGTTAGCTAAATAGCTTCCTTAAACTCTTTCTGAGCGTTTTATGTTGATGGATTTGAATTAACAATCTTGTATTGAAGTAGTCACACCTACATTAAACCAATGAGAATAATAATTATAAAAGTGGGAGTATTCTATTCAAATAAATACTAATTCATTTAATCAATCAATGTAATCCACACTATCAGCATTATTATGTCCCTCAAATACCAAGTGACGAAAACTCCAGTCAGAATACCGACTTCTATGACCCTATCCTATGATAAAAAAATGACACGTCAACCGGCACTAACAGCCTTGAGTCAACTATCAGTCCTTATTGGTTCCTAATATAGTAGCTTCTCGTCTAGCCCTGTCCGCTCAGTTCAGAACACAGTATCCGCCTATGCTGTATGAATAATATATTTCAGACATGTAGTTTACATACAAGCGTACCAGACCACATCACACCATTAAATAAAAAAAATAACAGTTATACAGGATCAGGCCAAAATTGTTTGTGAGTGTAGGAGGCTGTAACTAATAGACTGGGAATAAATTATGAACAGTAAATCGTATAACAGCAGTCAATTGGTCAAGTGAAAAATTATGGTAAAGGGAGTATAAATATACATAACCTAGTCACTTAATAATTATACGATAAGTATATATATAATAAATAAGTCTACAAATAATTCATGGAAGTTGCCACTCATTTATTCTTCGTTTGGACGTAAAAAAATTCCTTACTAATTCCTTCGAATTTGAGTTCTTGCTTTTGCCTTTTCGAAGTTCTAAACTTGTTGGGATTAGTAGTATTTCGTTATTTTATTTCAAATTGACATCTGGCTACCCTCAGTGTTGATGTTTATATCGGGGCATCCAGTTGATGGAGTCTCTAGAAGGACGAAGCACGCGTTCTGAATCTCACTACCAGCTACTCTCCAACTCTGCTTTAAATGCTTATGACTTAATTAGAATATCTAAGCGATCTGCAGAAGATGTATATATACCAAGAAAGCAACCGATCAATTACAGTCTTTAATACCAATAACGAGAAGATTCAATACGACCCGGTAAAAATAAATTAAAACGAAATAATGATGTTTGTCATTAGTATTATATTTAATAGAAACTTTCCTTTGTTCCATTTCCTTTCTTAGCCTATAATCCAATGACAATTAAAAAGAAAGAAGTATCTACTCGATCATCAATGATGAATATTACATTTATACGTTTTCTTTGCTTACCATTATTGGTTGTCTGTCTATGTACGATCGGATTAAGTTTACTATTCTCAGTTTTCTCAAAGTATGCTTTCAATAATAATTATGATTTAAACAGAAGTAATGATAATAATCACAATGATGGGGGCCATATATGGGATTTATTAAAGCATAAATTAACCATATTATTTGGTATTACAACTTATAAAACATTTCATACAATGTTGTATATATGTGCACCAGAGTTTGATTTTATCAATGTAAGTAATGTAATCCCTCTTTTCTCCCTTTCTGTCACATACACATTGGTTCATGTGTGAATATATTTTTCTAAATGAGATAAAAAAACTGTCATTTACTATAAAATGTTTTTTGTCACAAAATACGTACACTTTCATTTAAAATGTAAACAGAATGGCTTTCTGTTTTCAAAACAACTATTGAACTGTTCGGTCTAGATTTGAAATGATAGCAAAAGTGTGTGGCTCAATTGCATTGGGAAGTAATTCTCAACTGCAATATGAGTCAGATAACTATCAGAGTGTAACCACCTGTCACAAATTGACTTTACGTTCACATCAGTATTACTGTGTGTACAGTAAGCCAATATGTGACGACATGGCAATCCGTTTTCAATGAAAAATGAACAGGAGCAGCGCATGGTATCGCGGTGTACATTGTAAGTGCCTGTTACATCCACAGCCGTGAATAAGTCAACAGACATTACAAACTCCCGTGCGCAGGTGTCGCTTCAGTACTTGACATGCAGCTGGTGTCAGTCGTTCCTGAAGTCGACGTATTTCTAGCTCTTGACCAATGTTGGCTTTTATCCGACAATCTGATGTATATTTCTGTAATCTTGCTTCCATCCAATATCCAGTGCGAAGTAGCACATTGAAAATAGATCTCAGCACCAGTGTTTTTCCATTCAGCTGATGCATCTTCAAAATTCGATGACTTGTCTCAACGAAGTTCGTATTATTTAGTTGAAGTAGTGTTGCTGATGGTCGAAAAACAGTAGACCATTTGTTTTTTCTCGGTAGTAGGTGGTCTCTGACATATCGGGCAAACGTTCCGTCGGATATTACGATTAAAGACGATACATTGTTAAAACTACAAAATAATGTTATGTAGCTTTTGATTTACCTTTCAACTGTCCGAGTGAACATCAGGCGAAAAAAAGTTGTATCACTTCTGATCGTACCCTCTACAATTACGGTTAATGGGTTGATGGTAATGAACGAAACACTTACCCTCTTTATAACATTGCGAACAAGGTGTACACGACACAAAATATGATGAGCATTTGGATACACCTGCGTGATGGCAGCAGCTATTGCAGGTGAATCATCCGTCACAATGCCTACCACCTGTCGACTGTTGGTTGACCGTTGGAAAAACAACAGGAATCGAGAAATAAAAGTCGATGTTTCGCGACTTATAAATGCAATACAAACGGGTATTGCCTTAAAATTCATATCAAGGGCGATGACCTGATATAAATAGATGTTCTCGTTATTCGTCTTGTATGTCCCGTCAAAATCAATAACATCAAAGAAACGACCTGCCAACATCATTTGATCACCAGTCGTGAAGAAAAAATACGATAGACAGTTATCATCGTCTAATTCGTATTCGCAAAGCCCACCCAAAGATGTTATGTGAGCTTTTAATTTTCTGTAATCACCTATCGTTTACATTATAAATTGGCAAATTACTTACCAGGAAGGTTCGCGTGTGAAAACACTTTGTACCGCATATTAAAGATATCTTGAGCATTCAGACTTTTCCCATAAGAATGGTAAGCTTAATTCTTAATGTGGAATGCAGCGGTACCAGATATCAGCAGCGGTCGCACAGTTTCAAACTCGGCCTCCGTTAACCTGCGCACCCATGAATTACTTTGGTATATCAGGGAATTGAACTCGTGATTGTGATGCACATTCCCACGTACAACAGTCCAGTAGCCGTCTACAAAACATGAAGGCCGGACATTGAGTGTTCATGGAAACCCTTCGTGAAAAAAATTATAATAACATTAATCAAATTACCTCCTCCGTCTAATCCGCTGTGACGAACCGCTAGATCTTATACGGCCATTTCTCCAACACACAAATTTAATATACGAACTTTCACCTCTGCCCAAATGCGAATCTCTCACTACATAATGACAGTAAGTTGATCTTTCATAATTTGTGATAGCGGACTTTAAAGGCTTCAAGCGATGGGAACGCAACGAGAAACAATGTTGTCAAAAAGACTTCCTCCGTTTCTGTTACGTGAGAAACAACAGCGCTTGTACTCGGCACGTTACTCTCCTCCATAATGATGATTGAAATGTACTTCGTCGGCAAGTACTGATATTTTATAACAATTTGACAAGACATAACTAACAAATTAAAACGGATTTTAAAACTAGCCATTTCATTGGACGAAACGGGATAGAAAATATTGTAATTTGGGGTTGAAAAGTTTTTTTAATGGTGGGGATTTTTTAAAAACAAATTTACAAAAATTGTCGGGCAGATAATGTAAACCTCAGATGGATATATTTTCTGATACCTGTGTTTTATGATTTAAACCATATTATCATTCTGTACATCATCATCAACATTGAACTACTCAGTTCAGATGTTACAACACCTTTACGGTTATGATATAACGGGAGAATAAAATCCTCAACGCAAAATACTTTCTGCAACAAATATGTAAAGACAAATTGCAGTATACTGTTGCGTAACTGACACTCATTAACCGTATCTAAAGTCGACGCTGGCTTTAATGATCAATCGGGAACTCAAAGCACAAAAATATGAAAGCTGTTACATTTTAAGAAAGATTTAAGAAGTAAATGTAGACTGAGAGTAACTATTACGAGTGTTGAGCGATTGTAATCACAGTAATGAATATAATGGATGTTACTAGTTTATGTAAAATTTGAAGAACATTATACGACAACAGATACATAGGTTACACACTAGATGCTCTAAAATTGTTAGAAATGACACTAGCTACTGAACATTGTTAAGTAGTATAGGGTATTACATAGAGTTGAATAAGAATAGGGTTAAGATAGAATGTTAATGAGCTTAACATATATTTTTCATACTACTGTCTTGACTTTTTTTTCTTTAATCACACCAATTTATTCTTTTATTTTTTTGTCTACTAGTGGGCCACTTTAAAACAACCTCTTGAAACTGGTCTTATATACGGTTCCATTCTAGTCTGCTTCATCGTTTCTTTCAAATTATTCAGGAACTTGTTCAGTTCTCATCGTCACCATCATCTTTCAGTAACTGTAAATAACCAGTTGTTTAACAGTGATAATTTGTCAAGCTGTGAATATTCATTTCAAATATTGCGAGATTTTATTTCACTATTAGTTATCATTCAGGTAAGTGAACTGATGTGCGAATGTGTACATCTTCACTTTATTTCTTGTGATTTTATACTTATTTAATGGATTATCTCAGGATACTCGTGTAATAATTGATGTTAAATACAAAATTCGATTCAGAGAAGATATTACATGTGCTACAATTATTTCATTTGTTATAGTTTCTATTCTTTCGAACATATTCAACTGACGAATCAATCCCAAATGGGACGAGACATACGTTCTATATTCCACTGTTAACGATTATTCAACTTTGATATAAAATCTATTGCATTGGTCTTTTCTACCTTTTAAAATCAGCATAAAAGATGAATTGTACCATTCAATCAGTAGAATGGACGTTCAGAATTGTAATTTTCTATCAACTAATCTTTCAACATGAGAAATTTGCTATAATTATGGACTTTTAATATATTAATGGTTTCGAAGACTTATTTGCAATGTTAATTCCTTTAATTCTAATCATTTATTTATGTGCAATGCATTTTCATTACTAAATGTCTAAACTGCCATTAATACCTTACATTTATGTAGAAGTACTGATATTTTCATGAGTAACATATATAGTGGTTTCTCAACCGATTCATGCTACAAGTAACAGGGAACGAAGCAAATAGTACATAATTAGTTGGTAATAATTTAGGAATAGCAAAACGTGTTAGTGCCGTTAATATGTCTATTGTTAGCTTAAAATAAGAAGAACATACAAATACAGTTATCTAGTGATTACGTGTAAATGATAATGATCCAAAAATGGTCCTGAAAGTCCCAACTTACCCAATACTCGTCTCATTATAATGTGAACACTATTTTCAATCTAAATATATAGCATGCTAAGAAGTCAATATTATCTTCATTTAGACAGGTTCGAATTGGTGATAGCATGATTACCAGAACTCATTCTTACTAAAAAGGTAATCACTACACAAATTATTGGCTTTTAATATGAACTCCTATTGTTCCGGCAATACACATTTTCTATTCCCAGTCTTAAGTCTGAACAGAACATAATAGGAAAGCTTCTATTACTAAATTCCAGGTCCCCATTATATATATTGGTCATATCACTATATATCTTGAATATGAAATCATATTTTACATACAATCATGCTATATGTGGGACAAAACAGATAAAACAATACATAGTTACCTAACAATAATTAAGGAATAATAAAATGTATAACAGTGGTTGATAAATCCACTTCAAGCTTGCATTGCAAGGAGTATAGCAGTCTAATGATCTAAAAATTGAATGGTAAAAATACAAGCAATATTAGTCCGTAAAACAGTTCCTAAAGTTCCAACTACACTACTCTCTTCGCTACAATAACTTAGAAATAAAGTACGTAATATACATATGTAGCCCACTGCTAGTCCCACATTCCAGCTGTTCTATAAAACTTGTGATGAAAATGAATTTGTCGAGGCGATTCTCACAGGGTGAATGCTTGTCAAAAAATTCTGATAAAAATTTGCTCTTGAATACCAACATCGGGATAATTAAAATCCTTACTAATATTGATGTAAATGTCATTCTCAGTAAACAACTTAAGTGTTATCTAGTCTCAGTAGCTCCAGCAGATAACGTATCGGGGTTTGGTGCGAGGGGCATTGAGTGTCAGTGACAATGCCAACACTACACTGGAATGTAGGTTCATTCAGTTGACAAGTATCAAACAGGAAGAAACGCACTTTCTGAATTCCGTAGCTAGTTACAAACCACCTATGCTATATATCAGCGTTACCGGGAAGCTTCTCAAATCTCTCCCTTTCTAGAACTTTCTGAACATTGTATGGAACTGAAGTTTTCGGCTTTGTGGAATTTATATTTTCAGTTAACTTTATAATCGAGACCACATTATATGATTGTCGTTTGTCCAAAAACTCATAAGTCCAGCATACATTCCTTTCCAACTTGTTTCCAATTTCTGATGACTGGGACAGAAACTAAACTAGTATTGGTACAATGTCTAAACACATATTATTATCTTGTCTATGGTTCTGCAAAATTTTATCATAGTAACCATCTACCTAAATTGTATATCGTGTCATAAAACTTTAGTTCTTATTCTTAAATTATTTTTTAAAAATTGAATGAATTTACACCTACGTAGTTGGCGATTTTTACGATTATGGCTATGTTAATTATGAGACTCAAACTGTTCTGGACACCTCAAATGTGTTTATCACTCGCTATATTAGCTCAACCTACACGATGGTTTGAAATGTTTCATGCATTGAAAAGCATTGGTGGCCGTATATTTCGTACATCATCATGGAATAGCGCCTGTGAACCTGAAAAAAAGACAAAACGTCTATTTTGGTTTCATCATGTTATTTATACAACAATACTAGTATTGTTCATAGCGTTTATGGCTGGACGTGGATTGGAGAATTTAAAAGTTAGTTGTAACTTTTACTGTCGACTTTTGAGTTTCACTGCTATTATATTATGTTAACGTCGTAGGCTTCTTTTAACCATATGGTTTTTGATATCATGTAATAAAAATAAAGTAAAAGCTGGTATTAATATGGACCCAGCGAAGTTATCAAACTAGATCAGTACAACAAGATGATCTATTGCAAAATATTCGAAGTAATGCCCTGTGATAATTAAATCAATAGACGTCTAGAATATGGCTCAAAAATGAATGGTTGTGTGGAATAAATAGTTTGAAACAACATTGGAACTCAAGATTTAAGGGTAGACAAAAGATAGATGAATATGGGCCACGATGACCGTTTTGTAGCAATATCACCCAACGTCAATCATTGGTCGTAATAATCTTACAGACAAACTCCGGTCAAGATCTTTGAACCTTCCCACATGATTCAGTTAAATAATCAATAACTCCATGGAATATTGTTTGATGCTCTACATTATCGTCTACTTAACCTCCATTATTAGTCTAGCTATTCACAAGCACAGAAATTAGTCTGTAGAAATCTCTTGATGTTATTCCTAACTTTCGTTATGAACAAGTATTTGAGTGATCACTTGAACCTCTAATTATTAATGTAAAGTCTAATTACTTATTATCATCTGATATTTGTCAAATTATTGCTATATGTGACCAAATTATTTCTGTATATTATTTTGTTGATCTCCATCTAATTAGGTTGTTGAACTATTAAGCATAAAAAATCATGGGACTTCATAGTTCAGTCGTGTATAATTAAACGTTCATCCTGATACAAAGTTTGATAGTAGTGGCTGACACGATAGACTTCACTTACACGGCTATTACCAGCTGGTATAGTTAGTCAATCTGAATATTCTTTGTTTTGGTAACAATTTATTACAAAACTGGAAGTTGGAGCTAGAAACATTATAATTGATAGGTTTTAATACACCATTTGTTAACTGGTAATGATCACTTAATTTTGGATATGGCGAAAAAGAAAAAATCAAACATCAACAAAATAAATTGTTCCAACTGTGAGAAGCACTCCATCAAACAAAGTGGGAGTGCTCTTCCTCGTCGTTTGCACGAGCACCTATGCTGTTATGTATCTTTGCTTAAATCAATACACATACACAATTGTAGGCACATATTGTACTGGGGAAACGTTAAAATCTTGGAATACAAAGAATATTAGAAACATTTTAGAAGCTTGATGCTCAGGTCAATCAATCTATAAACACACTGAAACCGACTCAGTATGTCAACCAATCAGAAAAATCGTGGACAACTACAGAATCAAGAATTGAGTCAAAGGGGAGAGACAAGTAAAATAAACATGCAGACAACGGCGGGTTAAAGGTTGACAGAACAAGCTGTCGGTCTTTTGTGGAAAAATCCGACTACCTCACTTCTATCTGAAGTTTGAGCTGATGTTGTTTTTCAAAAGAACAATGAAAGTTTTACGATTAAGCCATCCAGTCGAAAAGACGAAACTTCACCAAATAGACATATATATAAAATAATCCAAAAACTAACTAAGCATATTCATTTTTGTGATTCATATTTTGTACTTTACTTACGAATTTACCTAGAGTGTGACGTGTGAACAAGAAGCTTATCATTAAATACCAACATTATATAATCTGAAAAAGTCCAAGCCAGATTGATGAACAAAACGTTGGAATTATTTAAATTTGAATAGCTAAAATTATTCTAATACAATTTCTACATTTAATGTCTTCTGTATACTCGGCGCCCAATTTCTACCAAATGTTCACAGAAAGAATCTTATCATCCTGTTATTCTTCGTAATTTCCTAGAGTTAAGTGATTAGACTTAGTCACACTTTTACTTGATTATATAAGTATTAATAGGTCATCTTTTAACAAATTAACCAATTTATAAGCCTCATTTTATTTCAAGAGGAAAATGTACTGACATAGTTTTGAGAGAAAATGTCTAATAGTCAACTAAATCTCTGATCAACAGGATAAGCTGTTAGTTAATTTTGAAAAATCCCTAGTAGCTCACTAGTTTTCCAAATGAATCTTGATGATGTTGTCTAGAAATACAATCAAAAGCTGCACAACTAAACTGTTCAGCTCAAAGAAAACAATACTCTTTCTGAGCTACAAATATTTTTGATCATTTTGAAAAAAAACCCACTTAATTTAATGTTCAAACTGATGTTATCTTTCTCATACACTAAGTTTTCTGATTTTTTTTATGTTAAATCTGTTAAAGTCATTTTCCAAGTTCATGATATTGATAAATATTCCAATAGTTCAAGATAAATATTGCATTCTTACATAATTTTTTATTCCAATCCTTGTTAGTCTGAATGGAGTATACAAGGTTCATTCAGTGCGTATGAAAGTGAAATATTAATTAATTGGTTTCGAAGTTTACCGCAAAAACGTGAAGATTCTACCTTATCGTCATCATCTTTATCATGGATTATATCTGGACCAATGTCTTTGTTAGGCAATCTACGTTTAACATTACCAGCCTCTGCTCCTTATCCATCTACTCAAATTGTTTCATTGAATGAATCTGGATTTGCTTTTACAAATCATCCACATTATGAGAATACAATGCTTCGTTATAGAACTATTTTAGCTTATGGGATTTATAGTCGTAAACCTGTTCATGATGTATGGCATACATATCGTCATATTTTAAAAGTAAATATTATCATTCATGTATATTTACAGGAAATATATCCTGTTTTTTCTCCACATTCACACTGAAAACTTTGTTTTAGTTAATTTTCACTGTAATATACTTAAAAGAAAAGAATATTTAAGCAAACAGTTACCATATAGTAAAGGTTTACTTGCGGAAATCAAATGGATTACACAATCGCTCAACGAACCACAAGCTTCTAAATAGTAAAAATAGTTCCTATTTAATCCTGGACATGAAAGTATTCTGAACCACTAAACTATATACTGCTAGTGAATAAATTGTTTAATATCATCTACCTTGACTTAAGTAAGATATTTATCATTCCCAAACGCTTATTACATCATGGCGTATTTTTGTTTTGTATACGAGATCGATGACTATCAGTGACTATTCTGAAATAATGACATACTCCAAATAATGGATTATTATTATCATTACTAATGGCTCTATTTAATTTTATATGTTTAATGCAATATGGAATTCTCAGCACGAAGTATTTCAACTACTCCCTCTCATAAAAAATGAAAAAAAACAATAGGTAATTACAATCACATATACATGGAATAAGTAAATTATCTGGAATTAAATGAGACGTTTTTTTATTAAGATAAGGATCTATACATCCTTAGATTCGCAAGATGTCCAAGAATACAAGTTCTTGACTAGTTGGTCACCTCTCATAACCTGTTCGTCGCATAGTATATGCGCTGGATACTAACGGTGTTGTAGAAATTTTATAAGTTTGCTTGCATTCATGGATTCTAATGTTCAACTGGAAGATATAAAAGAAATAGCTGGTATCTGATAACACTTGCCAGAAGTTTGTAAAATTCTTAATGTCTATCCGCAACCATATTCATTATAACCTTATCACATACCTTACTAAATGCCTTTAGCGCTGTCCGCAACACATCAAAATCTTTTCTTGAAAGCCCAGGAAGGAATGATAGGCACTATCCAACAGTTTATAAATCGTAAAACCAAATGTCGAGTAATGTCAAAAACATGTGACCACTTTATATAAGTCGAACGGAAAACTTCGTTCTATTCCAATAAAACATGAGATCAATAGAGATCAGAGAAAAAAATCACACCATGATAATCGACCTTTGAAACTGTTTTTATTATATAATATTCAATAGTACAAAACTTATGGGGTTCGAATAGGGTGCATAAATGCTGTTCAAGCCTCAGACTAAAATGAACAGTTTAATACTTACAAGGACTAAACGTGAAACTACCGATAATAAGACACCATGCAATTAGCTGCTGGACATTATTGAATAGCATAATATGCTACGCAAAAATTATCGAATGAGAAACGAAAAGAGACATAAGTATTAATTTTACATATACATTTTGTTTGAATTTCCTGTTGATGTTTAGGACTGCAATAGACCAGTCTCTTATCGACACATGTGTAACCTATGCGGATTGCCTCGATAGTGCCGTAAGTCACAAGCATTATAGGCAGATGGATGGTGGCTAGCAGTAGGATCCAGGGGGGGGGGCGTTTCGTCTTATATGTGACTCGTCAGCTGGACGCACTGACATTCCAGTGTTGATGTTCACTCCGGGACTCGAATCCAGTACCGTTCGCTTAATGAATTTATGAAACGATCACTCAAGAAAAAATTCCATTCAATCTAATCACCTTAAAAGGGTTAGAGTGAATCACGACACTAATCACTTCTTGTGACGAAATTCTACTTCGATTTTTTTTACATTTTTTGATGCTGTAAGACAAAACCCGTTCGAAATGTAATTTCGTGCATCACCACCAGCAAAACAAGCTGAAATTTTGTGCATTGTATGATTTTCCGTTTGTTTGCGAAATTTCGAATCATAATATAGCTAAATCTACTTTATGTTGTGGTATTTTGAATCTATTAATATATTTAAAGTGTATGGTAATGAACTATTTTGTGCGTTACTTAACATATTAGGTCAGTCAGAAATCTGCTAAATCATTAGTGCACTTGATTGGCTGTATATGATGTTAATTTAATTTCTCGTAAAACTGAATCCGAGAAGCTAGACCAAACTTTTTTAGATGGGAAAAGTGATATATTGGCCCAGTCAGAAATCAATCCAATGATGAGTCCCTGTGATTGGCTAAAAAAATAGTTTTCATTTTCTAGGAATGAGACACCATAGGCGGCTTTATTTTCTAAGGAATATAGATGTGTACAGATATCGATTCGGCTTAGTCAATAAACTTTCTTTCAAACTTTCAGTCTGTACACTTAATCAACTGGCTGTACTCATGTTTGGAGAAGGGTGTGTATCAGTATCAACTCCTGAACACCGCAAATCACAACACTTCTGAATTCTGTTGCTCAGAACATCTACTTTTATTTGACTGTTAATTGAAAAATTTCAACTGATTTTTTTTTCAGGCTGATTTTGTAATAGTAGAAACTCATACATGTCCGTCTAGAGGTGGATGCAGTAAACCGGAACTTTTTGATCTACTCGATACAAATCTTGCTGGACGTCCAGCACTATGTGAATCACTAATGAATATACAAGTTTTAAAAGCTGGTAGAACTCCGAGTACTTTGGAACCATATTTTACAGTTGTTTATGTTGAACTGTACACAGGCAGAGTTGTACTATATGTGAATAAATTGACGTAATATATAATGAAAGCAAGTAGGCTGCTTACGGCTTTAAAGATTATGTACAGTGTCGCCATGAATGTATGTTACCCAGATGCTCAATCATTTGTGATTACAATGTAAATCTCTTTGTAAACACGAACTACTAATCATTTCATTTTTAAAATGTTATTAAATCTAATATTATCAAAAGTTATGCATAGCATTTAAATAAACGTTATTTGGTTGTTGTTTAAAAAAATGTTGTGTATTTTTCATTTCTCTGTAAAATAAGGTCACTCATGTCTTTGAAACAAGTGAATAATTAAAAAAAACGAGTTGAAATATAAACAAAAGAGATTCAAAAGAATTTTAATTAAGTTTAGTCTGTACAACGTTGAGGAGCATTCACAATGCTTTAATCTTCATCTTCTTCGGATAAACATACACGTTCTACTACACGACGTTGGGGTTTAATCTGAGCTTTCTCCTTGCGTTTTTTCTCGGGTAAAGTCTTCGTTTGCTCTGGAGGTTTTTCCACAGATTGCCTCCGTCGAGTCTGACGTAGTTTAGGTAATTCAGAAAGCAGATTATTTTCATCTTTCACTAGTGCTGTATGCTGCGAAGTACTGGGAGCTTTAAAAAATCGATCTGTTGTTTTTTGATTTCGTAAGCGACTGGCTGCGTGACGAACGCGCTTACTCGGTACCGTTACCTAAAATATGAAAAGTCCGAAATAACTACCAATAAGAACACCTAATGAAGTTTATTTACTTTTTTTAACGGATGTTAATGATCCTACACGAAGATTTTCGGGTGTCAGATATAAACGCTTTGCTGAATTTCAGAACAAAAGTTCTACAAGATTTACTGGAACACTGCTTGTTGAAAACTGTAATATCCCAAAATAGACTCACTTATTCAGTTAATTTCGCTCATTTGATATACAAACTTGACTGTTGTTAAGACCGTACATAAGTTCAGGTTAACGAACTGAATAAAGCTAGTCTATAAACATTCAACATCAAGTTAAGGTTTCAAAGCTATGTTCTCACCGACTCTAAATTAATCAAACACTGACGTTAGTTAGAAATCTGATAATTTGCGCCAAGTTATGCAGCGTTAGGACTTACTGGTGATAGTTACTGATAAACGAGTAAACACCCAGTGACGTTTAAAAAAGAGATGGGTATCTCGATCAACCATAACTCTCTCTCTCTCTCTCTATATATATATATATATATATATATATAAAAGACTAAAAAATACTGGAAATGTTAAAGATTGTCTGATATTTCTTACCAGACCCTCTAATAATTAAAATTATAGTTCTCCAGCATAAAATACAACTTACTTCATCCAACTCTGATGAATCAACGGGATGACTAGCAATTTCCGATTTTTGGCAAACCTTTTGATTCTCAATCTGAAAAAAATTTGTTATAAGTGATTTGGACGAAAGAATTTCTCTAGGATCCCCAAGCTCCATATTTTGTCTATGTTTGAGTACAGAAGCCAACATAGCTTCTGTTTTTTCAGTATTCCATCCCAATAAGGTATTCACGTGTGTGTAATAGAAAAAACTAAGGAAGAATAGTAACAAACTTCTACTCATTCATGATTAACATTGACATGTTTGGAATCGAGAATTAAAGTTGCTCAATTTATCCACTTATGAGTATTGGATTATTTCCCTTTACTACAAACATTTTTGGGGGAGGCAGTTTCCACCTGATGATCCAGGCATAAATGATTAAATTAGTTAGTAAGGAGTTTGGACCCTCATTCGGATAGTCTGTCATAAACAACTTAGTACATATGTATATATTAGTTCAATAGTTGGTAGATAAATTCACGTCCAGGTCGGGAACCAGTCTGATTTCCCCAGATTTACTGTTCGCAAGCCCTAGTTCAGTATTGATTGACTAGTGAATAATATTTTAGACACCAATTCCTCTGTGTGAGTAAATTAACATATTTTTAATATCCCAATGAGCAGAAAAATTAAATTTTCTGACGTTTCGTGACTCAGTATAAGCCACTTCCTCCGTGGTTATCAAAAAAGTTTCATCTTTTATAAACTGGGACGGTAAGCCGTCAACAGCAGTCAAATTAGAATACATCTAGTTCCTAAGCTCTATCTATAATATCTCAGTCGATCTAACAGCTGAATTTGAGCTCGTTTAAGCAATTCAATAATATGTGTGGTCTTCACATAAGTATGATACCAAGACTACAAAATGAGCATTTCCTTAGTTGCAATAATTACTTAAGTCACTAAGAATAGATCTAATTCACATTGCCTATAACTCAATTTTAATGATCCATAGAGTTTTCAAGTTAACAGAAAGATCCTTGATAAACAAATCTATCATTAAACTTTCTTTGTACGCTTATAACTTGACAGCTTTTTCTCCATTTTCTTAGGACGACTGCATATTCACGTATACAATCTGTTTTACAGCTAAAACTTAGTTATTTACAATTGGAATACACAACTTGCACTTAACAAGGCGAATTTCATAAGCCGTGCTTCACGAAAAATTAAGCATTAATAAACATTAAAGGCTTTAAAATCAGTGATTAACACTGAATGGATAGGTAGGGTCTTTATTCACTATCGTGATGAATCTACCTTTATTTAACTCCATTCATACGATTTTATGTTGATGAAAGAATGGATAGTACTAGAGGAAATCATCTTACGATGTTGATTTTCGAATATTAAAGACTACAATTCGAGATGGTGTAAAAAATTTGTAATTCAAGTGGAGTTTTGTTCTCTGAGTTGGATGATTTAGTCGTAACGCTCTCATAGTTCTGAACAACATCATCAGCACAAACCTCAGGTGGAGGTGAAGTGTTCGATTTACTCCACGTATGACAAGCTGTGAGTCATATGTAGAGAAGTTCGAACACTTCACTTCTACCTGAAGTTTGTGCTGATGTTGTTCAAGAGAACAATGAGAGCTCCACGACTAAAAAATCCAGCTCAGAGAAAATTACGACAATTTATTGTCGTAATTTACTCATGTTAGAGTCATCCGCTAATATAGTTAATGTTCTATAAACAAATTGGAACACTTTCTAGTTCTTTTCTTAACTAGTTGTGCGACGTTTTCTTTTCTTCAAAAAAGGATATTTGACAAGAAGCGGTACATTCGGTGGTTCCCATTTAAACGGCGGCAAATCGGTTTTGACATTTGGGTAGAGGTAAGCACGTGCAATACGGCTATCTGGAAACCCTGATTAAAAAAAGATAAATAACAGGAAACCGTTGTAATGAAACAATACATTCCCTAATGTCTCTTAGGCCCATGCAAATGTATGAATAAAATCATATATACTTTTGAAAGAAAATTAATCGACTATATGTAATTATCCTCAGAAGAACAATTAACGTGCTTAGAATTCCCAAATGCCCTGGTATGGCCAAGGGTGGGGAGAGCCAGCTCTCCCTCTCTAAAAGCTCTCACACGGCCACGCGTATACAACCACTGTCAGCGAAGTCTTACCCGCTGCCTTCTCGCGGTGGGGGTGTTGTTTACGAAGTTAAGAGGACGGAAAGTGAATGTCCGGCGCTTTAACCAGGATATGGAAGATCCACCTTGCGGAGTTGAAAAACCTTGATTCCAAACCAATGATCCACATGGGCTCTAGGATCTGAGCGAACAAAAGGCATGTGAACCTATTGTAAGTCACTGGCTACTATGGGATTGCAATCTCCTTACGTTACTCCACTGCTTTATGGATTAGACCTTCAGGTCAAATGCTGCGGGTGTGGCTTCAGTTTCGGGACCCGGGCAGTATCACAGCCTTCACACAAATTCAATGATAACTACTATTGACCTTATTGTTGTTGTGTGACGCATATGTATTTGGTTCTCCCTTGTACCAGTGTTTGTGTTCAAATAAATAAATTGAGGCTTCTAATGTGACGCAGTGAATATGAACTCGAATAAACCAGACGTCTGTCAAACAACAACTCTTTAACTTTAATCATATACAACCGCTGATATATAGACAACATCCTATGTTCTAGAATAATTTTATAATTCATACATCAGTCAAAATACTGAAAAAGAATAACTCTGATTTTATAGTGACATATAATGACCACTTTAGAGCACATATAACAGTGTAAGCAAGTTACTAACGATAATAACCATTTAGATTATAGAAAAGATCATTACAGAAATCTGAATTAGAAAAAACTAATTGTAATCATATTTTAAAGAAATAAATGAAATGTATGGCGAAAGAAAGACTAAATGACCTGATTTATTCTTAACATACATAGAAAGCACACTGAGTTTCCATGTGAAATCAATCAACATCAAATAGGTGAAAGAGCATCAAACATGGTTTAGGGAAATTTATAGACGAACTAATCAGATATATGATAACAGGTCTTGGAGTTTGACGCGAAATTCGTTCATCCATTTGGCTAAATAGCGTTTAGACGTTTTTGGCTGATGTCAGTTCTTGATGAAAACTCTAAATCTAGTTCCTAACCATCAACTGTAAATTATAATATTGATTCTTCACATTGGTTTATAACCCTCATCTAATCGTAGTTAATAGGTGGATATTCTCTTGGTCACATTAGCGTCGCTCAAAGGTCGTCCATAAATTATATTCTCATTGAAATTTTAAACGAAAGATATACATAAACATTTGTTTGTACATACCTGGATATGGTTTCAAATTTATCCAACGACGTCTAATTGGATTCGATTCAGCTATTCGAAGTATTTTCATTGATTGTGAAGAATTTTGTGAACGAGTAGTTTGCCACCAATGTCTAAATAAAGATAGATTTTTAATAATATATAAATTACAAACTAGTGAATCATTCTTATAGATTAGATAATGAATTTATATTGTTTTATGCATATTCTATGAATGTTATAGAGTCAAGTTTCAAAGTAGTATTATTAAATGTACTATGAGATTTTATTATAAGCAAAGATGGATAGTGGTTAGCAGTAAAATCAAGGACGCGCATTTTCTCCTTATTTTGGACTTGTCAGGTGGATGAACATGCATCTCAGAGTTGACGTTTAATTCTAAACATCAATGGGAAGATTCAAACAAACAATACAAAATGAATGAGATTTTAGTTTGTAATGATACTTTGGTTTTTCCCAGTGTATAAACAGGTAATTTGAAATTTTTGTGAAACTCAAGAAATATCATGAACTATTCATAGAAAGATAAAGGATTAAAAAACAAGGCATCTGTCTTTAAACGAATCAAACTTTTCAGTGACAGCTTTTGAGTACTATAAAGATCGGATAAAAAGAATGATGATTATTAACATCCTCCTATGTTCATGAAAAAAGATTGAACATTCACTGTCTCTTGTTTTTTCTAGTTTTTAATTCATTGTTCAGATGAATGCTAGTGAACTAAATATTGAGAAATTATATGTGGTCATTATTATCACAAAATGCTGAGACAGCTAAAAATCCTGATTTCTGAAGATTTTCAGGGATGTTTTCAATAATATAAAAAGAGATGGAATATAACACGATAAATAAGAAAATACAATAAGTGCCTAAATAGGATATTTAGAGTAAAGCATTCAGGATACCAAGTGCATGATTAAGTTACAGTGATTTGAGAACAGAATAAGATACAGTGGTTGTTATGTCCTAAGGTCGGCCAATGCACATAAATGACCTTAAGCAACCAATACGCAACAAGGACAAGAAAGACTGATACTCTATACTTGGCGCTTGGTCCAATACTAACTAACCCCAAACTAAGAGGAAGAACACAAGACCAATAATCACCAGCCCAAGATTGTTCTTATATTTCAGATAGACGTAGTTTATGTACAAGCAGACCAAACCATATCACATAATAACACAAGAAATAACAGTTATACATGATCAAGCCAAAAAAGTGACTGAAAGTAGGAGAGACTGTGAATAACAGATTGGGAATAAATTGAGAACACTAAATTTTGTAACAGTGGTTAGTGGGTCAATCGAAAACTTATGATAGAAGGAATATATATAATAATAATAAGCTAATTACTTAATAATTATATTATATATATAATAATAGTCCGTAAATTAGTACAGGGAAGTTCCTATTCTTCTGGTCTTCGTTTGGATATAATAGTGACAGTTCATGGGTCAGATGAAAACTTGTGATTAGGCGAATAAAGTGAACATATAATTCACTTGCTCATAATAATAATCGAAATAAGGGTAACAATATGGCAAAACATTAGATTGTTCAGTTTGCCACTGTCGTTTATTCTTCTACTTATAACAGATCAAAAGTTGATGTTATTTATTATATGAACTTGAGAAAATGGAACTTACGTGAATTGTTCTAGTGGTTGTAAGATATCATGAAGTAATTTTTCGGAAGGTTCATTAACAACACCATGAAGCCAGTTGTTAATTTCACAATTTAATGAATAATCATCACCATCATCAAATTCACTCAATATTTCAATAGCTGTAACTGGACCAACCTGATCAATTCCATGTGTATAATCGCTACCACAGAGAAGCGTCAAACGGAGAATATTCTCTATAGTAAGGCCTAAATATTCCGAATTGTTATGGTAAATGTTGAGTACATTAACTATGATATACAGTTACATAATTGTGATAGTAATAAAAATAATGACATATTTGGCTATCATCCCATTTATGTATGATTTCGTCATTTAAATCTGTGTAAGTAGGATGATAAATAGATTGATGAATCTAGTTTCGTAATATACGATTGGTACGGAGGATCCACCTAGGGGAGTTGTAAAACATTGGTCTTAAAACCAATGATGGGCATGAGCTCAAGAATCTTGAGGAAATAAATAGCGTACGAACGTATTCTTAGTTACCGGCTTACCACGGGATCTTATCTCATGACTTTGCTCTACTACATTTTGGATCAAACATCTAGATCAAAGGCGCGAGGAGTGGCATTCTAAGAAAACCACTTGCCTCGGTTTGGACAACCGGGGCAGCATCCTAGCTCACAAATTCAATGATGATTACAAATGAGAAGAAAAGTTCTACTTATATGTTTCCACGGAGTCAATTAAATTAGTAATATTCCGATTTTCTGCCTCAAGCAACAGTTTTGAATACAAGGTAAAGCATCAAACACACGTTACTGATGTGTGTCAACAGGTGTTTCTAACGATTACATTCAAATTTAAAGACAAATCACTGTAATATCGAGTTTATTTCTTATACAGCAAACAATTCATCAAAATTTCAGTCAGGGTTAAGAATAAAGTCAAATGAAATCCGTTAGTGTATAATACGAATATTTCCTGATATTACAGACCGATCACACGAGATACAATGCAATCCAACCCAAGAAAGCAACCTTGTGTTTTTGTTTTCTTCTGACATGACAAAACAGACAGTCCGATGATTACAAAAGAACCAAGCACTAAGTTATAAAGCGTGAATACATACACTTCTGATTAAAAATATACTCTAAATATGAAGTATGGGACGGTGTACACAAGTACGAATATTTTATTATTATGAGTTATCCAACTGTTAAATAATAACGTATGGTTGACAGACATTAAACGTGATTGAACTTTATATTTACTTATGATAGTAAATTATTACATTTTTAAAGCAATTAAGTTACCTAATTTACGTTTTACTTCATCCAGCTTGTAAATGGAAGGATTTGTTGTTCTTTTTAGATTATCACCACCACCAGTACCAAACAAATGACGACAGACAAGTTTAACACCGAATGGCCATACATCTGAATCATCACTTGCAACTAAATCAACTAGACCATGACGTTGTAAAGCTACACATTGAGCTTCTGCTTCTTCTGGACTAACTACGAATGGAAATCCGAACAAATGAAGTAGCTCCTACAAAATATAAGAAAACAGTTCTTGGTTGATCAAAATAATAATAATAATAATAATAATAATAATAATAATAATAATAATAATAATAATAATAATAATAGAGTTGAACTCAAATATGTCCAAGATAACCTGGTGCCTTATTGTTTCCAAGATCTCGATATTCAAGCACTACTCTGTAAGCGATTTGAATCCTACTCAGTCTACTACGGGTTTATGCAAATATAAGTAACATCACTAGCCCTCAACTAATAGTGTGTTGTCCAAAGTAGAGTGTGCGAATCTGTATTGCACATTTTTTCCCTTCACAAGTAGGGCACAGGCTATTGTGCATACTATGTGGATATTTGTAATATTTCAATGAATGGAAAATCAAATTTCTGAAAATCTCCTTGGTGCAAGTCGCTCCTTAAGTGAACAAACAAATTATCGAACTAAATTAACACAAGTTTAAATAATACAAAGGAAACAAAGCAGAAAATATGGTACAATTGAAATAGATCGGATTGTATCAACGTCACTTCATTTCTATTGAGCTGATTCTGCAGGTATGTGTGTGTGACATAATCCTGTGCATTTGTGTCTATTTAAGTAGATGTGAAAAAACATGATATATTTAAGCGTTAATGAGTCAAATTAAATTTATAAGTGTTAATGGTAAGAGAAGTGAATAGAATGAATTGAAGTTGTTTGGATAAACCGTTCAAGTTGAATAGTTAGTTAGGCCTTCCTTTATATTGACAACTGTAGAGTTTAACAATATATAAACATTTTCAGTTACTTAGCTTTCTTCATGATTGGAAATAACTTTTTGATTTATTCTGGCACTTTTAAAATTAATTTGGTGGTCGTTGAAAGTATCACAAATTGCTATTGATGATTTAATGTGTAGAATTTACAGTTCCATAAGATGATTAAGAGATAGTTTTGTGCAGCTTATGTGTTATTTTTTGGCAGGAAGTCGAAGTCTCACAAGACTCTCCAATACATAGAAGCATTACAGTAGATACAACCTAATCTATAGATGTAATTCTGTGAAGAAGCACAAGGGATCTTTCCCAGAATTCAAACTGAAACACTAAAGGGAGTTGGTTGTTTTTATAGAAAGTTTTTTAATGGGATCACTTCCTCCATAAGATATTTCCCTATAAATATTATTAAGATCATAATATTTTCAAAAAGTTGTAATAAACTTGACAAACAGATTATATTTGTAGGTTGTACTCGTCACGGACTAATCTCGGTCGAGATACCATCAAAAAAGGGTATACTGAGCAACTATTACGACCAAGAATACGACTCCTCAGTAGTAAAGATTTACGAACCCACTAACAATCGAATCCAGAATCTTCAAGTCTCGTAGAAAAGAATAATTAACTATTAGAGCCACTTTGTTGGCGTCCAATCGTATAATTTCAACCCTGATCAACTTGCGAGATAGAGAGATCAATAATTCATGACGAATACAACCCATAAATAAAACCAATCTCCAAAAAACCCTTTCAGCTGCATAACTGATATGTTGACTTGGTGGTCAGTTTTGATTTTCATAATGACCCGGATAAGTTACCTCAGTCTATGTACTTATTTTTTCGAAAGATAGTTTACAGACAAAATTAAAATATTGTCAGAAGAGTTTTGTGGAGATTTTAGTCATTTAATAGTTGAATTCATGAGTCAACTGAAGCTAGACCACCATGGAAAACGTGGAAGCACTGGAAGGCAGTTTCATCCTGGCATGGGACTCCTCAGCAATGTGCATCTATTATTCCGCCCGCGAGACCGATAGGTCCTGTGTTTGAATCCCGCGAGCGAAATCGTTAATTTTCTGATAATTAATAACTGTAATGTCTAGTTCCGATTGGAAGAGTACTACTATATTAGGATTAGAAAACCTAAAGTTGTGGGATTTCAATCGTAAATATTAACTGTTTTACAAACGAGGCTGTAAAATTACTCCTCATATAACCAGTAATTTATTTTTAAGTTGATGGGAAAATAAGAATCTGGACGTGTTATTAGATTAAATGTAGAGGATTTACTTCAACCTCGGTTCAACAGTATAGAAAACAAATCACAGGTTTCCATAATCAGCTGACATGTAGGAGTTCAGTCTTTAGCCAATAATTCGCGGCTTAGAACCTACCCCCTCCACCTACTTTAGTTTAGATAACTGGATAGTATCACCAGCTCTCGGACTTTAAATGTTGCTCGAAGTCATGTACACATATTGGCAGTATTTACAACTGTGTGTGTTACTGATAAATAGAAAAATGTATAGGTGATTTCTAAGTGCTCATGTCGCTTAACAGTAATACTTATTCCACTATATTTAATGTCAGCAACCCCAGTATGTAATCTTGACCGACTGTGCGTTAATTACACATTTGAGAAATTAGAAATTCGAAGACGAGAACTTTGAAATTTACAAATAAATGACAAATTTTGAATTGAACTTATTTAGGTAAATCGATAAAAAGTTCTGCCTCAATAGTTAAACGTTAAAGAAAATATAAGGATTAAATTACCCTGATTTGGCTTGATAAACCAAAGTATCAACATGCGAGGCTATTAACTACAACTGCTTAATAACTACATTTAAATTTGATCTAAACAAATAAAAAAGGGGGATTTTTTACCTGGGCTTCTGAAATACAACGCGTAGTTGTCGACTGAGCTTGACGCATCAAACGATCAGCTTTTTCTCTCAATACATCATCACTATCATCATCAATGGTATAGTCATCCACGACTAATTCAAATGATAATGCAGCTTTCTGTTGATTAGTTTCATAGGAAACTTCTTTACTGGTTAATTCTTCTTCAGTGAAGACAGAATTTAATTTATCCTCATTTTGAACATTGTTTTCATCGACAGAATATTCTTGTGATGAATTAGAGTCAGTAGATGTATTCGAAATTTCAACTTGTTTGTGAGTCTCAACTTCGATAAAGTCATCATCATCATTATCATCACTGCTACTTTTGATCTCATCATATTTATCCTGATGAGGTACTTGTAAAGATTTTGATTCATGTATATCAGAAGACAATACATTAATTTCAGCAGTAATTTCATCATTTTTGACTCCCATAAGGTCACATGAATGTTCTGGAATAGGTAATTCGATAAACTCCGATGACTTATCAAACTTAGGAATAGTAGATGAACTTTCTGGAAGAAAGTCATTGGACATATTATCATTTAAAGAATTTTTCGTAAGTGGTTGATTGTAATTTTCGCAATTATTATTAAGTTGGCTTTTCTTGTCAGTCACATGTGATAGGATAGACACTTGATGTTCATCTGAATATTCCTCGATATTAACTAGTTTTATTGGTGCACATTCAGAGTTATATACAATATTTTCATTTGTAGAAATATTTGTCTCTTGTGTTGAACGTAGGTTTTCACTCATATAACCGTCATTAGGTATTTCTTTGTTCTGGTCCTCTTTTGAAATTTCCACTTTTTTGCATTCATCAGACACATTTAAGTTCTCAGTATTACATGTAATTAATCTGAGTAAAACAGAAAAAATTGTATGCATGTACAGAAGGTTTACAAAAATTGCTTTTGAGCATTCACTATTAGAAATGACAATATTTAGAATAAATCAATCCTACTGAGTAATTTAAACATGGAGTCATTCCATCGAATAGCTTCTATAATACTGTACATGTCAACATAGTTGTTATAGACGAATACTTTCATAGACTAATCATTTGAACTAATTGTGTGAGAAGAAATTTACTCAGGAGAAAAACTTGAATTTAGCACTTTTACAAGACTAGCCAGAGCCTTTGCCTACACTCACTCTTAGTGATGGACTATCAGAATTAGTAGAAAAACTCGTGCGCCTGGATAGCCGTGTGTGATGGCGGCGGAATGTCAGATGAGAGCGATATACGTGTAGTGAAAGCCAGATCGGCTTACAACAGTCTAGGCCATCACTGACGTCATCCTAATGTTAGTGTGGTTGCGAAAAGCTAGGTTTACAATCCTGAGGTGAGAGCAGTTCTGATCAATACTCGTGAAACCTGATCTCTCTGAGTTGAAGATGTTCGACTACTCTGTGTTCGATCATCATCATTGTGTACAAAGGATTAATGACAGTGACAACACAATGTTAGTAATGGGGAAGCTGGGTAATGTGTGATCGTAGACAATGACGATAATCCGATTAGTGTCCCCATCTTGAAATACCGAATTCGGTGGCTTGAACATGTAATACGAATATCGTCTGAGCGAATTCCAAATCGTGTATTATTTTCCGATGCCTTGACCGATTGAAAAGAGCGGAGAGGTGGTCAGTGTATGACATAGTAATGTGGTACGAACGGATGTTGTATAGGGCCGAGGTTTTTCGGTTTTTAAAGACTCCCCGGCAGAGGTCCGAGAGATAGTGTAACTCAGGAGCTTGAAGCATTGTCAGACATGGATCGAAACAGAAACCAATTGTGATACTGCCGTTATATATTTTCTTCATAAAAGTGAGAGGAACTTCATGAACTGAAAGGGAGGATTTCTTCTAGATATATTTTTCTAACTGGACTGCTTCTCGCACTACCTACTACTCTTATTTATTAATTATTTTTTGATTATATTCATTCTACTTCGTCCATCTCTTCACTTATTTTTGTATGGCGCATATTTAGTTTGGTTCTTATTTGTACCGGCACATATGTGTTTAAATAAATAAGTGTACAGACGTGTAAAATCATCATTTACAAAGCAATCGTCTTCATTTGGAATGAAACCACTGTTATTTGACTTAAAAGGAAGATATTTGTTGAATGACAAACTTAGTATGGGTCTAATATTTCGTATTGAGTAGATGTGGTGCACTGAAACTGAGCGATTTCGCTTCTACTCATCAATATTGAACATAATTTTGTGAGAATAAATTATACTTTATCCATGTAATGTAAACTTGATCGATTGAACTTTAAGTAAAGAGGCAAAATCAACAGTCTGAAACAAGTTTTTCAAATAATAGACAAGTATCTAACGAGTTCTTCCACTGGAATTCAAAATCTACCATATTTACTGCTTTAGACTTTGTTTGAGTCTTACAGAACTGTTTAGAATTATCAGTTTATTTCAGAGAAGTCAAATGTAGCAAATTCATCACATTTTAATAATAAACAAAGTCGAGAATCCAATTAGTTGATCTTTAAAGACAATAAACTGAAAAAGCCTTGCCTCCACATGTCCTAGCAACTACCTTAAAAATGAAGTGCCTAAGTGCAAAATGTCCACGTGTGAGGTCGAAGGTTTTGGGTATGATCCTCGAGTGCAGGGCCATGGATGCCCACTGATGAGAATTCCCATACTATAACGAAACGGCTCTCTAGTACTTCCAGGTTTCCAATAGTGGTCTAGCTTAGATCAGTTCAGAATTTCAATGATATATGTCTATATTCGAGCTTTCGAAGAACATACTCACTTTTCAAGATTCAATGTTGTAGATGAAGGCAATTTAGTTCGTTCGTCCAATTGATTCACTGGAGATTTTTTAATGAGTATAGCATGTCCTACATCTTGTGACTGAATACGCATAGCTGTAGCTATGGTCTCAGTAGTCTCTGAAGCAGTAGTCGGCTGTGTCGTATTGGAAAACGGTAAAGTTGAAAATAACGATTGATTCGTTAGAATATTTTTTATCATAGAATTGTTTAACTGAAGAATTTGTTGAACAGCTTCTTGTTTAGTTAGATTATCAGATAACTCTTGTTGACGTTCTGCTAAACGACGACGTAAAAGCAAACGTTTCATTTGAACATCTGAGAACTGTTCTGGGTTAAATTGTGCTTTGTGCAAAGTTGGAAAGAAAAAATGATTACTGATTACGATGCGAAATATTTCATCAATGACTGTCAAGTTTCATTACAGTGCTGCTTCTAAAGAATACTGTTTATAGAGAATATATGGAATGCGGCTAGCAGTGGAATTCAGGATGCGCGTGTTTTTCTATTTAGGACTTGCTAGTCGAAGGTCCTAGGTTTCAGTCCTGAACGTATGATCGAGGATACTCACTTCTAAGGAGTTCCATACTAGGAAGAAACAGGTGTCTAGTGGTTCTAGGTTTCCAACGGCGGTCTAGCTAAGATCCATTTGTGACTTACACTATGAAAATTCTGCAACCTCCACAAACCCCTCCATTCTGAAGTAAATAGAGGAAGGTCTTAAGTGAAAGTCAAAAATAAACACTGTCATGAAGGACGTTTTCAGTTATTGATGAGAGAATTTTCTGACTATTATAATTAGTGGAGTAGAATGCTGGTTGATAGATGAACGAGATGATATGATGTGTGGCTGAATGATGGGTGCTAACGAGAAAGAACTATTGATGTAAGCCTCCGAATAATTAGAACTCAAAGACAAGACCACTCTAGCCAGATGAACAGATATATTTTGTTTAATAAAACATGGTTATATACAGAATATTAACACAAAATAAGCACGATCAAATTTCATTGGCGATTGGAAGGATTCGCTTCTGAAGATCACTTAGCCTACAATCAATTAAGGCCTGTTTGTTAAGCTAAATGTTTAGGCATCGTAACACATTAGTATTAAATTCAAGTTTTTTTTTCAAATAGTGGTCAGCTTAAAGTTTTGGGGTGAAAAAAGTTGAGTTAGGTAACTGGCTAAGGTTTTCTTCACTATTTAAGATGAGTTATTAATATAAATTGAAAAGATTTTAATCACCACACATTTACTTCTGTTGACTGGTACCTGAGAAAAACTGGGACTAGAAAAGAATTATAGAATGCGACATGAATAGTAAAACAGTTAGGCCATTAAATTAAGTATTAGATTAAAACAGCTTAGAACCTAGTACTCACCTTTAAGCTACATATTTTGGTGAGAAGGCTAGAAAAACAAAAGTGGTAGGTTCAAATCTGTGTACTGATAGGTGGAAATTGTAAAGTGCATTAACTAATAAGCTACTGTTGAGTGAATCTGAAAACGTAGTAAACTATTTTCATTAGCACAGGCACATACACACATAAAATAAGTACTCACTCGGTTAACCGTAAGCAACGTGGAACTAAGTATACATGTGAATCAAGTTACAAAACCATTATATCAGTACAACAAGATGAAATTATCCAGAGAAAATATCGGTACTCACTTTACCTTCATCATCAAATTGCACTAAATTGTTACGGCATGAACTAGAGTCTAATATTTCTCTCAACAGCTGAACAACACGTAATTGAGCTGGTAAAGGAAGTGCACGGAATGCATCTGAGTCAAGATCAACCCCAGAAAACTTCTTATCCGATGAATAGAAAGCATCCTTAAAAAATCGTTTAAGAGTCAAAGATATTAATACTTATTAGTGGTATTATTATTAGTTGACGACATACAAATGTAATACAACATAAGTATCAAAAGAGGTATCGTTGTATAGTGGGATTAACATTGAAGCGTTAAAAGAAGATAAATAAAACTACTCATTTTGTGATAAACGAATACTTTAAATTGAATGACTGGTTTCCAATATCAAAAGATGTTACAACTGAGTTAATCGAATTCTATAGCCCTCAAGTTGCAATGTGATCAACTAGTATACGTGTGACTCGATATTGTGTCCCAACTAGCACAAAACCGAAGTCCCGAGTTTCCTGCTGACTACATAATGCACGCAATGTCGAGCTACTTCAACTAGTGGCTACATTAAAAATCGTTCAATACAATTCGATCAACTTTTAAATGACCAATCACCCATAAATATATGTCCTACAAGAGTTCAGTCGCTGCCCAAATAGTTCAATGGTAAAATTTCAAACTCGGTTTAAATAGCACAGTGGGTATCGATCCCCTGAAGATTGCAAATATGACTTGTTGACAATTGTTGACTAGTTCTAACCACTTAACACATCAAGGGTATTAATTTATTCTGCTATAAAAGTAGTTATATTGTAAAAGAGATTCTTCTGACTCACTTTCTTGAATACAACAGATTTCGATGCATCAATATTTGGACTGTTCAACAGCTTTTTAGATCATTTAATATATACATAAATCTGGTGTGACGCCCAAAGATTAAGCCTAACAGTCAAGTCTTAACTGATTTACTACAATTCCCTCACGAAGCTAGTCACTAGTGAGCACATGAAAATTATCAGTATAGGGGTTGTGAAGATTACTAGGTTTTTGATTGAGATCATGGACCGATTGATATTTGACCGACATTGAAAACCTGGAAGCACTGGACGGCCGTTTCGTCCTATTGTGGGACTCCTCAGCAGCGCGAGTTTACGATCCCGCTCGCGAGATTCGAACCCAGGGCCTTCAGTCTCGCGCGCGAACGCTTAGCCTACTGGACCAGTGGGCCGTCCCACAGTAGAACGAAACGGCCGTCCAGTGCTTCCAGGTTTTTAATAGTGGTCTAGCATCAATCGGTTCATGATCTCAATCAAAAACTTAATAATCTCCACAACCCCTATACTGATAATTATGAAGTTTATCTTGTCTTAATATGTTGCATATAAGCGTGTTATTTTATCACATCAGTAAGAGCTAGCCATCTGACTAGAGTGATCTTGTCTTTGATTTCTAATCATTTAGAAATTAACATCAGTAACTCATTCTCCTGAGTACCCAACACTCGGTCACGCCGTATCATTGGGCTTATTTCTTGATTAACATTTCACCTATTGATTTTAATAAACAAGAATTCATTTCATTAAACCATTAAAAATTTCTTCCATATCTTCTATACGTTGAAGATTTTTATACTTTTTCTGATTTAGCGGCAAGTTCACAGAACTCAAACTAATGTATTAAAAGGTTCAGCCTACTTGAATTTATTTAATTAAACAGTTACCCGAGGAACTTTCTAGACATATCATTCATGATATACAACTACCAAAGCGAAATAATTAATACTCCTTTGGTATAAAGTTTAATACCTTGAAAATTTAGTGTCTTTAATATCAGCCGAATACAGTTTAACTGAAATTACTTTTTTTTTAAACTTTAAATACTGATGCCATCACCATTAAAGGTGATATATTTGCATATATCATTAGTGTGCAGTAATATCATGCTATTTTGAAAAGTTGCATGTTCTATATTGACTACTCTCTGACCATGTCTTGCACACATAAAATACATGCTTCGATTTAGTGGTAAATATTTTTGAAAATCAAAGATATAATTATCGTCAATACAGTTGTAAGAAAGTGATATAGAACTACCGAAGCGAAATAATTAATACTTCTTCGGCTAAAGATATAATTATAAGTTTATCCAATTTGAGGATGACAACTTAAGTGAAAAGCAGATTGCATACACACTACCAATGTTGGTAAAAACAATTACTCCTGTCTAATAAGTATATCAAAATAGTGAGGGACGCTATATTCAAGCATTTATAACTTTTGTTGGGGATGATAGACCCTCAGGAACCATTTGGTAAACGTCTTATTTTTGTAATTTTATTTTGGAAATTTGAACTTCTCATTTTCGTGTCAAAAGCGCCCATTTTTATCCTCAGATTGTATTTCCTACTTGGAAGGACCCTAAATTTCATTAGTTCGTTTCCTCTTTTGGTATGCTATTTTGTGACGTTTTCCAGGGGTATTTTTGTACTGCATATATGCGCATCAGTTGTGTGCTTGTTCGTTCGTGCTTCCGACTGCTTGTAGGACATACAATGCCCTCGGCTGGGGTGCAATGGAATAGTTTAGTTTGTCTTATTGTTGTGTTGCTGACTTTCGTTTTATTTGCCGGTTTTGGGTGATATCGTAATCTCTTCAAGCGTAGGAGCTTTGTTAGAGCTTATAGCAAGTTATAAATTTAAGCAGGGATTTATTCGAGTATTCACTATATCTATTCAGATTAAACATTCCTGTAGATTTGTTATTATTCCTTATTCATGTAGCTAGCTACTCTCTTATCTACTTGGGATACATAAAAAATACAGTGAATTGATGAACGAATATTGAAGTCTTTTGAACACTTTCAGTGATAGGAATGAGAGAATATTTAGAATACATTTCCTTTAAAACGTATACATTGATGATTAAAATGATATTAAGAAATGTAGTCCAACAAATCAAGCACTACGACATTGCGGGACCATCTTCCATTGTCTTCGATGGGTAACTACCTCACACCATACACGGTTGAACTCCAATAGTCACAGCTTCTCACTAGAACTCTATAAATTCTCTCTTAAAGCTAGTTACTAGTGAGATGACAATTTTCAGTACGTGGTTGTTCATGAAATCAATGAAATACAACACTCTACACAACTCTATACTGAAAATCAAACTACTTGACTTCGAAGTATGATTACCCCCTACTGATGAAATTTAGCCATATGTACAGAAGACTCGTTACGTTTTCTATTAATCTGCCTCGCTTATGAAGTAGACAAGACTTCTACCTTTCTACTGGACGATGTATGTCCTGTGTAACAGTTTATTATTGTACTAGCATAAAGCCCAACTTTAGGAAGCAAAAAACGTGTACAGTCTGCATGTGTTTGATAATAAGTATCTTCAAATAATTACTCGCTGATGGTGGGACCACATGCGGAGCACTGACGACATATGATTTAACAAATGTGACAAATTAGTTGAAGAGATCGACACCAGAGTAATTCGAACATATAATACGCATTTACTGAGCCATTATCCATCACTACAATACAAGTTATTACTAACCAAATAAAATAAAATCTAATGTGATTACTCTAAGACTACCTACCAGATAATCATGCGCCAGCTCATCGTATTCTAGACCGGCCTTTTCACTCAGCATACGATTATCATCATTGCTACATGCTGTAGAACTACAATGTAGAGAAAAAAGGAATTATACGCAACCGAAAAATTATTTCTTCTATATACAATAACGAAATAACCAAAGTTAAGTGATTTAAACTCATTTTCTGTTGTAGGTGAATAAGCAACGCACCAGGAAAACGAAATCAGTGAACAACTTGATCAATGACTTGCTTATACAACAAGCGATAATCAGTAATATTGAATAACGAATAACATTAAACTACAAACAGAATTCAATCATCACAAACAAATAAGTACAGTCAAATCTATTGGAAAAGGAAACACCTCGCATGTTTTGAAATGATTTTCGTCAGTGTGAATAAATCATTTAGTTCAGTTTAAGCGGTAAGGATGTATCCAAAAACACATAATGACTCGATTTTTTGTATTAGATAACAGGATAGTGAAGGCGACCTTATTGGTTAAATCCCCATTTATTTATCATTGCTTAACTTAATTAAAGGATCATTGCCACCTATTCTCAAGTAGCTTACTTGCGATTCTTCAAAATGTTTTTCGACATTTTAATAAAGGAGTATTTGTGTGCGCGAGTGTGTCTAAAAGCAACCAGTCACATTAAATAAATTTCTATATCTAAAGAGTTGCAAAATGTCCATGATAAGTCATCCACGATAAGTCATCTCAGAACCGCATCAGCAGTGAAAAATATTTTGATGTCACATGCACGAAACGAACCAACTACTTGCGAAAAATAATAACGGGTCATATTATCAACAAACGCACCTCTTAAAAATTTCAGATCAATGATCACGAAAAGTAAGTGAAATTAAAGGTATTTATTATCAGTATGGGGACTGTAGAAATTGTTGAATTTCATTGAGATCACAAATCGATCTACGTTAGACAACTATTGGAAACCTTGGAAGCACTGGACGGTCGTCTTGTCTTAGCATGAGACTCCTCAGAAGTATGAATCCGCGATCATGAAACCAGGAATCGAACCCAAGGCCCCCGATTTCGCGTGTGAATGCTTAACTTCTAGACCGCCAGACCGGAATCCGATGGTGTACAAGTCTAGTTCCAATAAATCCATGAGATTCCACGACCATCTCCCTTCGTCTTTGATTGGCAGTTTTTCACATACGAAACAGTCGAACACGAGTCACGGCTTGTTTATGTTATAACGCTCGGTTTTACTTTGTACACACGTATGGGACGCTAATTTACCTTAGACGAATATCTAAACTAGATTCCCTCCCAGTGTCCATTCTACAGGACTTCAACACAACTCAGATCAAGAACATGTAACTAACCTGACCACAACGTAAATATATTTCCATTCCAAAAACCCGACACAATCCAACAACAATGAACAATCAATAATAAGTGAGTGTCTCAATAATAATAAGGATAGGGGAATATATAACTCATCTGACACCTGTCAGATTAGCTACATGTCTGACTAAGCAGACAATCATCCTGAAATTTTTACTATGAGTCGGACACATTACATTCATTTCTATGTGTCCAGTGAGATTTCATTAATTTTACACACAAAAGAATGTTTTATTACAGCGAGTGAACTCTTAAAAATACTTTTTATATTTATGATAGGTTCATAAACCTACAATCGCTGGTATACAAAAACGATACTTACGTTGAGTCATGATTTGGAGCTGAGAACATCTTAGCATCTTCTTTAGCTTGATGCGAGTCTGACTGTTGTCTCAATCGTCTTAACAGTTCATTTTTCGCTGTAAATAAGCAGAGGTAGAAAGTTTACTAGCAAAAGATAGGTGTACATATTTCCATACATTAAATCATGAACTGACATTAGTTAGATCACTATTGAAAACCTGTTCTGTTTCAGTATGACAATCCCCAACAGTATACATCCATGAACCCATCACCAGAGATCGAACTCAGGACCTTAGGTCTATGGTACAAATCACATAAATAAATGAGCTTTCAACTTAATCAAAAAATTGGGAACAAACAAGAAATCTGCTCACGAATTCAAAAATATCAGTTGGATCATCCAAACATATTTGACATGTGGCACAAACAAAACGTTCGTCTGTTAGCCAGTGAATGAGTATACCGAGCAGCAGTTTGAGTTGTTCTATTGTGTGTCTGTGAAACATGATATTTAAAATGGAGGATATTCATAGGTTACTAGTATTTGATTACAGAATCCTTCGGAGAATTACTTGAGTATGTTCGAACCACTGAATAAGAAATAGCAAAGTTAGACAGGCAGTACTAGTTAAAGATATGAAACCTGTAGATGAGGTGGTGAATATTCATAGAATGAGGTAGTTGGGTATATATAATACATATACCCAACCACATCTAATCTCGACCTGCGCTGTCGTCTGCTGTACGAGGTTGTACGAAATTTAGGGGTGGCCAGATCAAGACGTGGCATCAGTCCATGAAGTTACTGACTACTGGACTGAACTTTGTTGGTCGATTTAGACTACCTAGATGGGGTCCATTTGATTATGGTAACCAGTAGCTGAAAGCTTTGAGTGATGTGGCTCAGAATCCGTCTCAATGATGCAGACGAATTCACTATGTTATACTTTGGATTCTGAGGTTTATAATTACCTTACACATTTCATCCCATGGATCTATTCTTTCTTCTCGAATCATATATTTTATGCCTAATCTTGTCTACTGCTACTTATACTGTTACTAACTCAAACACCCTGATATTTGTCTTGATAATTTCATCTCGCTCTTCTAAGGTAGTGTGGTGACTCGAAGCGACGCATTAATGTGCCATGTTCTACGTTGTACATGACTGACTGACTTCTCAACTGATTTTGTTCACAGCATTCACATAATATTATTCAACTATTATACATTTTTGTTACTAACTCGGAGGCAGAAAATTAACCTACGTTGTTGACAAAAATTTCCTATGAATGGATTCAAAATTATGTGGATGGATCGAACTACTACGTAGTCAGAGGCCCATCGATAGTCAGCAGGAATGCAGAGATAAATGAAGGTAAATTTTTTTATCGATAATCAGTTGCAAACAAACTCATCAGAATAGACTGGTTTGATGCTTGTGGAATAATCAGAATATTTACTTTTACATGGAGTATCTGATGATGGATGCTATTTGGAATGACAAGAAAAGTTTTCCAGTTAAAATATCCAATTCACAGAATACTAAAAAGCCAAAACCAATCATTTCTGCTCGAAGATGTGACAAAATTTCACATTAACTTATAATAATGATTCAATCATAATATTTTATCTTATACACAACAAATACTTTTTGGCTTAATTAAATAATGTAGCTTTAACTAACCAGTATCCTCAAAATATTCTACTTTATCCGGTGACGTTGACAGTGATTTTACAGAGGATTCTGCAACACGACGTAAAAGTCGACGAAGAAGATGTTTTTGGGCTTTTTCTGCTTTTGCTTCGGTTAGGCTACGCAACTGACGTCTTGAATTCTAAATAATACAAAATCAACATTCGAAATGTGACGAACTCTTGTACAGGAAGCTTGGGTGTCAGTGTCAGGATCACACACCAAAAAACACAACATTAATAAATACCTTATTCTTATACAGTGTTTTGAAAATTCCAGGATTAAATGCGAAATATAGTTAATGTCAAACTGCACAACTGCTAAATTAAATTATTGATATTATGAATAGGATTATGATCGGTAGACGATGTACAATGATACAATGTGGTTTATCGTTAACTACTTACGAGATCAAGTTACTGACACAAGCCAAAAAACAAACTTACATCAAACTAGCAGGTTATTTTTTATTGTATGGTTTTTTTCAAATTTAATCTCACTTTGTAAACAGGATTAAATTTTATTTATGAGATGCGAATTGAATAGGTCACTCACTCGCCAATGAAATCACGATATGACCAATAGGCTAAATCCTCATTCGTAATTTCAGTTAATTACCAAGTTTCTATTCATAAACAGTATCTTCTATGAAGGGTATATAACATTCAGATTATACCTATAACTTAATTAAACTTTATACACAAGCCAGTAGCGATCTGTTTACAATGGTGTAGAAGTTCCGTTTAATCTTTGATGAGGTAGATAAAACTAACTCCTACTGACGAATTCAAGCACTTTTGATCTATCAACGTAATGAATTTTATCGAAACAGACAAGAGTAATATCAAAGACTATTTACTGGGTAATAAATTGTGATGAAATATTGAATTATTATCGGTATAAAATGTATGTGAATACTGTTCAATTCGCAGCTAATTTACATCACAAAAAGCAATCAAAAACCAGGAGACGTCGGACAAGTGTTTCGTCCCAGTATGGGACTACTCATCAGTGAGCACTCATGACCGTGACGAAAATTGATGATTGTGAAAGGATTAGTATGAAATGTCGAGGTGAGTTTCCAGAAAATCAGAGAGAATTTTAAATTTAACATTTTTTCAGTTGTTCAATTTTGCCGCGAAACAGGACAAATGAATCCTCCAACTAATTAAATCACGATTTTATAACACCATAATAATATTAACTCTTCATACAATGTGTCACCCACAGATCGGTACACGGATTTGTACACAGGTACTATAAAACAAGACACCAAGAAATACCATACAAAGAAAATGAGACTGTGAAGAGGAAGAAGAATGAAAGGTTACACAATCACTAAATAAACGAACAAGAGTAATATTCACCAAAAAAACACAACTTCTATTCTAATCTATGTCTCACAACGTTTCAATACACTGAGTATAATCTCTAGGATCCCCAACGGAAAAGTCGGAATAGACCGACAGATCACAGTCCTTCAAAGTCATCTTTCATACTGTGGAGCTATGTCATAAACTCAATAACCCTTTGTTTTCCTCTCCTCAGTCCAAGAGTCGAAATGCGATCTAAATAACAATAAGTCTTTGAGACCTGGCTCCACTTTTTGCTGTGATTTACTAAATAAGGGATTAAAATCGCGCGAAATTAAGTGGTTTACATAAGTAATGTACGACACATACAAAATGAGTTGTGGATCTCCAGTCAACTTAGTGTGTTATGTTCCTATCGACTACTTATCTTTAGAAAATTTATCATGATTTGTAAGAGATAGCTACTGGTCGTTTGTGTATGTAACAGTGTATGTTAGTTTTTATTTTAGGGATAGTTTCTTCCTTGAAACAACAATCCCACTATTCTTTATTTTCAGTGCTATAACCTTCAGTTGGCAAACACCGGAATGATGAAATCAGTAAACTACCCGGGTAAACAGTTTTAATGGTTACCTTATATATTCAATTGCTATCATGTTTGCAGTTTAACACATTACAAGGAATAAAAATATTAAAATAAATCCATATCATAACTAATGGGAAGTGGAGTACTCATTCATTTATATCAGCTACTCATTACAAAAAATGTGATACTGTTCAAAGAATTGTAAATAGAAAATACTCACCATAGTTGATCGTTTCAGTGCTGGAGTTTCACCATCAAATACAAATACTGGTTTGATTCCAAAGAAAAGTAATTTGCATAAACGACGAAAAAATATGGCCAAATAGTTACGAGGACCACCTGCTGCGCCTCGAGATTTCACAGCTTGATGCAACCAGATGTTCATATCTACGGTGAATACCATAATAAAGTAACATGTCAAAGTAAATAACTTTTAAAATACCTGTTTACTGAAGCTGGATGACTCAAAAACAGTTAATCATAATTTCAAGTAGCAAGGAAGATTATTTGGAAACGGAGAAATTTTTGACAATATAATAGTTATTTAAATATATTTATAGGCTACTTAAATGCACAGTATCAATCATAGAACATTAGATGAACATCGTGTATACACACTGGAGTGAGGTTGACAGTTGTTAAGTTCCAAAAAAGATGATCGTTGAGATAACTTCTTAACTTTGAACTTTAAAACAGCCGTCCACAGAAACGTCACCAAACTCTGGTAAGAACATTTTAAACAGCAAAATAGACATTGTTGCTGCTTTATCACAAATTTATTTAAACACATAAACATTGGTACAAGGAGGCACCATATAGATATGCGCCAGACAAATTATTCGGCTTGTGTGAGGGGAACACAATGACAGGTGTACAACTTTAGGTGTATTCATCGGTTAGGGTGACAATACAAGAAGGTAGGCTTTTTTTTCATTGATCAGAAATCGCACTACAATTGCAAGAGTTAGAGTGACCCTTTGGATTGGTGATAAAGTTTAGCTTAAGTGCCTGAAGTTTTCAGGTTAATGAGGGAGTAAGTGTAAAAATGAGTTAGTTGGGTCCTTTGTCATAAAACTACACATTACGAACAACAGTTGCTAAATCATGGAAGAAGGGGAGAAGTTGAAGAATACAATTGTGCATTATAAACAACTGAAGAGGTACAGAGGAGTAATGAATAACTAAAAATAACGAAACTACTGATACTGTTTCTTTTCTAATATCAAGGATGGTAGGAGACCCGCGTACCAATGGAAACAAAGCTGAGGAATCTAGGATCCAAGGCTGTTTGACATGGAAGTTATAAAACGGTTTCGGATCGCTTCGTTGGTGCGAAGGCGAAGTTTGACATGAGAGCTCGTTTGGATACTAAGAGACTGTGAACCTAAAAATGGACAGACCCACGCCTGATATAACGTCTTTAAAAGTATTCGACAAAAGTAGTGACTGTAAGCGTCTTTACCAGATAATATTTCTTGTCATTTCGACTGATATTTCTTCAAACGTTGGTACAAGAACCTGTGATTTTTGGCATATATTACTTGACACTAAATTACACTTTTGACAGTAAATATTTAAACAGCAACAAGATATCCCAATAGACGGTAATAAATACCATCAGTATAACAGATTTGTTTATTATAACTATCTTCCTTCAAAAACTGGTGAAGCTTAAGTAATAGATCAATTTACTCAAAACTACGTAGACTCTTTAAGGTAAGGCAGTCGTCTATTAACTCCTAAAAAGTGGCTAATGGCAATATATCTAACATCGAGTATCATGTTGACAGACGAATATCAGTTTAATTATTCCTCACTGCATTTGAAGGTTGTGAAAAATATGTAATTGTTTGGCTATGTACATAAAAACGATTTTATTGACTCAAGATTCTAATGGAACTTGCAAGATGCATTTTGGGTTTATCATTTGTCAAAGGCAGACGTCACTGTAATTAGTTCTAATCGGTCGTCTTTTTGGAGCACATTTTACAGCTTTGTATTAGCCAAACTGCAGTCACTCACTCAGTCAGTCAGTCAGCTACAACGTAGGACCAGGCACATATATGCATCGGTCCAGGTTGCCATATCTCATTAGCACAGCAAGATGAACACCGAATTCATAGGAGTGGTTAGGTCAAAGGTGGTAATATATAGGAGAAAGATTGCATATAAGGATACAGTACGGGAAGAAAGAATTAGTTAGTAGAAAGAAAGATATGAAGTGATTTTAATCTCTTAGTTTAAGGGAAGACAGAGAGTGTATGCACCGACGCTATTGTGATCGATTCTGAGCCATGTCACCAAGAGTTTCCAACCATCGGTTAAGAAAGTCACGCGGACCCCAACCAAGTAGTCTGCATCTACCAACATGGCTCAGACTAGAGGTTAGTGTCTTCAAGCACTGATGCCACGTTTTGGTTTGGCCGCCCCTAATTCTCTTCCAACCATCTCTAACACCCGTTAGCATTGCACGTCGTGGTAATCAGTGTTCAGGCATACGTAACACTTGGCCCAACCATCTCAGTCGATGAAGATTCACAACCTCAACTGATTTGCCATCATTCCCTAATACTCTGCGTCTAACCCCACTATTACTTATCCGGTGATCCCAGCAGAAGTCAGCAATATTTCTAAGGGATCTGTGGTCAAATACTAGTAGCTTACGAGTATCTTCTACTCTTAATGGCCATGTTTCGCTGCCGTAAATTAAAACAGAACGAACTGTCGCGCAATATACTTGTCTTTTTATTGATAGACCGATATCTCGCCTTCGCCATAGGTGACGTAAGTTGGCAAAAGCCAAACGAGCTTTTCGAATCTGTGCTGAGATTTCGTTGGACACGAACCAATTAGGGCTGATCAGGCTTCCAAGATAAATGAAGTTGTCAACGCGTTCGACTACTTCACTCCCTATCCTTAGTTCAGGTGTTGAAGCAGACCAGTCCTGAAGCAACAACTTGCATTTAGAGGGAGAGAAGCGCATTCCAAACATCCTGGCATTGTTGTTTAGTGCTACCAGAAGACTCTGCATTTTATCAGCGTCTTCACCAAACAGGACTATATCATCTGCGTATTCTAAGTCGATAAGTGGACCTCATGGAAGGAGATCAATACCCGAGAATTCAGTCGACGAGAATGTTATTTCCATCAGTAGGTCTATGATGAAGTTAAACAGAAATGGAGAAAGTGGACAGCCTTGACGGACACCACTTGAGGTTGCAAAGGTAGATGACAGTTCGCCATAAGCTCTGACTCGACTGGTAGTGTTTGAGTAAAGAGCCTTTACAAGGTTTATGTACTTCTGGGGTACGCCTTTCAATGACAGACACTGCCACAGAATCTCGCGGTCTACAGAGTCAAATGCTGCTTTTAAGTCAAGAAATACCACCATTGTCGGACGTCGATAAGTATGCCTGTGTTCTAGAACCTGACGAATGGCGAATATGTGGTCGATGCAGCCACGATCAGGTCTGAAGCCAGCTTGGTTCTCTCGTGTTTGCAGTTCACGAGTCTTAGTTAGGCGTCTGATAATTATCGAGGCTAGTATTTTAGATACTATATTAGTTAAACTAATCCCTCTGTGGTTGTCGCAGGATGATTTTGACCCTTTCTTATATATTGGGACGATAAGTGATTGCGACCAGTCAGATGGAATAACGTTTAACTCCCAGATCTTAGCTAAAATAGGGCCACCATTCTTAAAGACTTCTGGAGCCAATCCATCTGGATCAGCTGCCCTTCCTCGTTTCAGATTAACTATAGCCTTTTGAACTTCTGCTAGAGTTGGGGGACCTACTTCAATGTTCCATTCACACTGTCTGGGAATGGAGGGTAGTTGTAGAGTCGCTGAAGGCCAGCTGAACTGTTCCCTAAAGTGTTCCGCCCATACTGCAGTCACTGAGTATACAGGAGAAGACAAAATTGGATACGACATGCCCTTAGAAGTTGGACGGGAGAGCAAAGTCAAACACAATAGGAACGTGTATAAATTGGGATAAAAATGGCTGAATTTACTTCTCCAAGACTACCTAAAGAAGAAAACAAAGACTGTTACTCATGCATAATAGTTTATTATGATGATAGGCTTGAAGACACTACTGGTCAATAAAGACGGTTTTAAAGACAATAAAATAACAATTTATTCGGTTACTAACAATAAGACGTCAGATAGAGGACTTTGAAGGTAAGTTAAGCCTACTATTGGTACAAAATAACAAAACAAAAATAAATAGACTTGCCTATTGCTATAATTTTCCCAGATAGCTGTTGTAATTCTATAGGCTCTCTTGCCGGCTCTAACAAACGCCATAAGCCAGGAACTCCCATTAGAAATGAGTAAAATGCCAATCGTCGGATCGCAGATGTGATGTTAATTGATTGATCTAAATCCACTTAAACATCTACAGTGAATATGGTGTTTAATTGCAAGAAAAACATTTTTGAAAATAATTTTTTCAGATAATTAGAGTAAAAAAACTCGACTATTCACCAAAAAGTCCGTTATCATCAATATATTGTGCGTGAATACGTGTTATGAAAAAGTAGATATTTTCACAAAATAAAGATTTTACTCATTGATCCTTCGATCGCATGAAGTTTTTATTGATTGTAGGCTTACCGACAGTTCCATAAGCGTCTCCTTTAATTATGTTGTTTCTGGAAATATGCGTACTGATTTTTGCGAATAATCGACTCGTCTTTTCAGTAGTTCTAGCCGCAAAACTTTTCGATCATTCTTTGTTATACACAGTGGAAGACAGCGTATCAATGCCTATGATCATGAAAACGACACAACTGAACAACTGCCTTTTTCCGAGTTGTTGTCCTGTTAGAGTGGTACAAATAAGAATCTCGAAGAACATTATTGTCGCTCGTACTTACTTAAATATTCGTGACTTTCCGTCATTTTGCCTACTGCAATCATACCGATTATCGTATTTAATGCTTCAGCACCTAGTTTTCGTATCTTCTGTGTTCGCTGCATAAATTTTGTATCTACTACAGAAGTATAAAGTCCAAAACGATCTTATTATCAGGGTTCCGATTCAGATCTACGTGCCCTAGTTTTTGTAGCTAATATTACCACCAATCATCAGACTCAAAATGTCTGACAGTATTTAAAACGTTGGGCAACTTCCATCGAAAATCTAGGGTTGATAAACCAGTTAGCGCCAACACTATAAGGACGATTATATGTCAAAACAATGGGGCTAGCTAACACACATGAAAATTTGATTATCGATTCGCAATCGTAATATTTACCACGTTAGTTTCCTACTTCTCATCGATAAAATTTTAATGTGTCATATTAAAATTATGAATATACCATCATGATTAAACTGATAACAGATAATCTATAAGAACACATTAACAAGTCTTAAATCTGTAACGTTTTAATACCCTTCCTACTTTACACTTTCTTATAGTATCGTATTTTACGCATACTTTCATAAACAGCATCTACTAAAATGCTAAGTAACGCAAACTTCGCAGTTTACTCACACTGTCTTCAAACCTCAATAATTAAACTCCTATCTATGTGACGAACTAATGAATGAATTGAGCTAAGCTTGTTGCTTCTCTTGGAGCCTCCGAACAACTCTGTTCTTGACTCTCCTTTTCAACTATCTTTAAATACTACTTATTTTTGATACTAAACAGAACTCTACAGCATACATCAATTTTTTCGATGAGAAAACATTTGATAGCTTGGATAAGAGAACCTTTTGGAATCTTTTTAGACAATAAAGAGTTCCCCAGAAGATTGTGACCACCGAAGGAAGTTCCTAGAAAGCAGAGATGTATTCCATGCTAAGACTAGTGTCAGACAAAGCTGCATACTCTCGATTTTTCTCATCATACTAATGGTTGGCAGAATTGCGAGGACCTCCACCCACGGGAGTTACGGAGTACTATGGGCACATAGAAGGCAGTCGAATGATTTTGATTTTCCAAATGACAGCCGTATTATAGCGCAAACAGCAAAGTTGTGAACGAAGAGTGGCAGCATGCCGGTAGCTTGTGCTGAAGTAGACCTTAACGGTGAGAGTCAACCAGACCGTTTTGGGCAACAAAGCTTTGGAAGATGTAAATGCTTCTGGAATACTTCATCAACATCACTAACGAACAATCAGGACTTCCTGGAGGTGAAAACGGTTTCATATTTGAAGTAACGTCCAATGATATCTGTATTAACATTCCAATCCAACTGTCTTAATAAAATTGGCAGTGAAACGACGGTTAAAATACACTAGAAATAAGAATGTCTCTTGTTAAAAGAAAGTGATAGGGTTGGAACCAAAAGATATTTTGAGGAGAAGAGGCCTCACCTCCAACAAAACTTGTAAATTTGCGATGTTCATATACCCTGAATGGAGGAGTGATAGTAGATGAGTGCCGGACATCACAAATCCGCCAAATTGTTTAAGGCGGACGAACCGACGACCCTTCAAACTACGCTTGCATCGCACATCTGCCTTTCTGATATGGATTGAAGAATCGTTATTCTTGATTTCGAGGAAAATATGGATGCGATATACTTCAACTTCTTTTCAAAGGGTCAGACATGTGTATGATCAAGCCTAAGCCGGCGCATTCAGATCACGCTGACAGACTGATTTAAATTGCGTCTAAAGAGTCTGCGCTTTGAGGCCAAAGTAAATTTCTTATTCACAGAAAAAGGGCTCAGTACTTAGACCTCTGCTATTTTTGGTCCATGCAAGTCTTCTGCAAATATCTTCCGAAATATTGCTTTTGGTGGTAGCTCTAGAGAGAAGCCTAAGAGCAGAACAATGAGCTAGCACTTTGAGAGATGTGAATCGTCTTCAACTCGGATGAAAAATAACTTCCAGTTCTTCAAACTGTAGATTCCGCCACCTAAAAACTTATCACAAACTACGCGTGCAGTTTATACAATAAGTTCTTATAAGAGGTTCAGGTCGAAGAAGACAGGAATCTTATTGCCCCATTCTTTAGAAATATTTTTTTATCTTCGATAAAAATGCCTTCGGAGTAGACTTCGGGTTTATACCTTTGAAGGATACGCCTAGCCAATTAGACGGAACTTCCGTTGTGCTAATTCACCACCATTCGTGGTTCTGGTACATTTTCTCATGTGTAGAAAAAATACATTAACAGAACTAACAGAAGAGAATAATTGAAAACCCCATAGACAACAACAGCAGCCAATCCAGCGCATGTTCAGTCAAACGCGAGACTATAGATTCCGCTATCCGGCCTCATACACCACAGAAATTACTGACTGTTGCTAATACCCAGTATCTGTTAATAGTAAGGAACAGCGGGTGGGCGATGAGAAGTAGAATGGCAGCAGCATAGATCGCAAAATGCAAAAAATGGGGGAAAACAATATTTAATAAAACTCTCTGATTTAATTTATTGTCACAGTGTCGAAGAGTAGCTTGTTAGGATGTGGAGCAGACTTTGATTAAGAACAATGTGATAGAATGCTGAGAAAGTTTGTCACTCCAGCTAAGCCATACCTCCTGTATAAGGGCCAAAACTTATCAAAAAATAAACTCCCACCTCTAGGTGTAATTAAAGTTTCAGCACACGTCACAGAATAATTCTTGCTTAAAAACCCATTGATTTAGCGATAATCTTAAATTCGAGTTAGACATGACAAACTATGGGCCATAGAAGGTGTCGCTGGAAGATCAGCAAAAACCTATGAACCCCCCGGCATGGTGCTTCACTGACTGTTTGTGATTGTAAGTGGCAGCCCGGATGAAACTAACGACCACGATACGCAACGGTGGTGTTGACTATCAAGTAGCATAGTCCTTCATACCACCACGATAAGTAGCACATTCAAGTTACTTACTTACTTACACCTGTTACTCCTCGTGAAGGAGCATAGGTCGCTCACCAGCATTCTCCATCCAACCCTGTCCTGGGCAATCCTTTCCAGCTCCTTCCAGTTGTAATTCATCCTTTTCATATCTGCTTCTATTATCCGACGTAATGTGTTCTTTGGCCTTCCTCTTTTCCGCTTCCCTTCAGGATTCCAAGTTAGAGCTTGCCTCGTGATGCAGTTTGACGATTTGCGTAATGTATGTCCTATCCATTTCCATCGTCTTTTCCTAATTTCCTCTTCAGCTGGAAGTTGGTTTGTTCTCTCCCACAGAAGGCTATTGCTGATGGTACCCGGCCAATGGATGTTGAGTATCTTGCGTAGACAGCTATTTATAAATACTTGTACTTTCTTGATTATGGTTGTTGTAGTTCTCCAAGTTTCAGCTCCATACAGTAGAATTGCCTTGACGTTCGTATTGAAGATTCTCACTTTGATATTGGTTGAAAGTTCTTTTGAGTTCCATATGTTCTTCAATTGTAGGAATGCGGCCCTTGCTTTGCCAATCCTCGCCTTTACGTCTGCATCTGAACCTCCTTGTCTATCGACGATGCTTCCCAGATATGTGAAGGATTCTACATCTTCCAGAGTTTCGCCATCAAGGGTGATTGGATTGCTGTTCTCCGCTTTGAATGTGAGGACCTTGGTTTTCCCTTTGTGTATACTGAGGCCTACTGATGCAGAGACTGCTGCTACACTGGCTGTTTTCATCTGCATCTGTTCGTGTGTACGTGATAGGAGGGCTAGGTCATCTGCGAAGTCCAGATCGTCTAATTGGTTCTGAGCTGTCCATTGTATTCCGTGTTTTCCTTCAGATGTCGAGGTCTTCATAATCCAGTCGACCACCAGAAGAAAGAGGAAGGGAGAGAGTAAACAGCCTTGTCTGACTCCGGTCCTTACTTGGAATGCATCTGTCAGCTGTCCTCCATGCACTACTTTGCACTGTAGTCCGTCGTATGAGTTCCGGATAATATTGACAATCTTCTCAGGAACTCCGTAGTGTCGAAGAAGTTTCCATAATGTCCTCCTATCTACACTGTCGAATGCCTTTTCATAATCAATGAAGTTGATGTATAGTGACGAGTTCCACTCAACTGATTGTTCGACGATGATCCGTAGTGTTGCAATTTGGTCTGTGCACGACCGATCCTTTCGGAATCCAGCTTGTTGATCTCGAAGTTGGGCATCAACTGCATCCTTCATCCGGTTCAGCAACACTCTGTTGAAGACTTTTCCTGGTATTGACAGTAGTGTAATGCCTCTGTAGTTTTCACATTTGCTCAGATCTCCTTTCTTTGGAATCTTGATGAAGTGTCCTTCTTTCCAGTCCATTGGCACTTGTTCCTCCTCCCAAATCTTTTTGAATAGAGGGTAAAGCATGATTGTGGTTACTTCGACGTCTGATTTCAGTGCTTCAGCTGGTATGTTGTCGGGTCCTGCTGCTTTCCCGTTCTTGATTTGTCTGACGGCCATTCTAATTTCTTCCGTAGTTGGTGGATTGACATCTATAGGAAGATCTATGTGTGCTGCTTCGATGTCCGGTGGATTCATTGGAGCCGGCCTATTCAGGAGTTCCTCGAAGTATTCTACCCATCTGTTACGTTGTTGTTGAATTTCGGTGATTGGCTTGCCTTCTTTGTCTTTGACCGGCCTCTCTGGTTTACTGTATTTCCCTGATAGTTTCTTCGTTGTATCGTAAAGCTGTTTCATGTTTCCTTCTCTAGCAGCTTTTTCTGCCGTCGTTGCTAGTTCTTCAACGTATTTCTTCTTGTCGGCTCTAATGCTCCTCTTCACTTGTTTGTTTGCTTCTATGTATTCAGCTTGTGCTTGGACTTTCTCTGCTCGTGTTCGGCTGTTGTTTATTGCTGCCTTCTTGTTCTTCCTTTCTTTAATCTTGTCCACTGTTTCTGTAGAGATCCATTCCTTATGATGGTATTTCTTTAGACCGAGAACCTCTTGACACGTTGAAGTTAATGCTTCCTTGATGCCTTTCCAGTTGTCCTCCATAGTAGTTTCTTCTTCTTTCAGTAGATCTCGTAAGGCTTGGAACCTGTTGTTGAGAGCTATCTTGAATTCATTGAGTTTGACAGTATCTCGAAGGAAGGCTGTATTGAACCCTTGTATTGCTGTTTGTCCACTTGTCCAGTTCTTTTTTAGCTTCAGTTTCAAATTGGCTACAACTAGGTGGTGATCTGAAGCTACGTCAGCACCTCTCCTGGTTCTCACATCTTCCATTGTCCTTCGGAATTTTTTGTTGATGCAAATATGGTCTATTTGGTTCTCTGCAGTGTGGTCCGGTGAGATCCATGTAGCCTTGTGTATACGCTTGTGTGGAAATATTGTGCCTCCTATGACCAATTTGTTGAATGCGCATAGATTTGCAAATCTTTCTCCATTTTCGTTTCTTTCTCCCAGTCCATGTCGTCCCATAATATCTTCATATCCAGTGTTGTCTATTCCGACTTTGGCATTTAGATCTCCCATTAGAATGGTGAGGTCCTTTCTTGGGCATTTCTCTATCACTGACTGCAGCCGCTCGTAGAATTGATCTTTAATGTCGTCGTTGCTATCATTGGTGGGTGCATAACATTGGATAATATTCATTAAGATCCCCTCCTTCTTTGTTTTG